GGGGCTCTCTGCTGGCCACGGGGCCCTTTGCAATTGCAAGGGTCGCTTAGTGGCTGGGCCGGCTCTGGGTACCACCACAGTCAGTTTGCACTGCTGTCGTGAAAAGCAGGTACCACCACAGTCGGTATGCACTGCTGTAGTGATAGTAGATACTGCTATCGAGTTGGTAGATACTGCTATATAGAGTTAGTAGATACTAAACCAGTCAGTATATACCACTAGTAAGTCAATACTGCTACAGTCAGTATATACCAGAGGTGGGACAAAGTCATTGTTATGCAAGTCCAAGTCGAGTCTGAAGTCATCAAATTCATGACTCGAGTCTGACTCGAGTCCAAGTCACATGACTCGAGTCCACACCTCAGAGGTGGGACAAAGTCATTGTTATGCAAGTCCAAGTCGAGTCTGAAGTCATCAAATTCATGACTCGAGTCTGACTCGAGTCCAAGTCACATGACTCGAGTCCACACCTCTGGTATATACTACTATAAAGTCAGTACATACTACTACGGTGAGTAGCTACTAGAGTCAGTAGATACTACTATAGAGTGAGTAGATACTGCTATAGAGTTAATAGTTACTACTATAGTCAGTGGATACTACTATAGAGTCAGCAGATACTATACAGTTAGTCATTACTACAATAGAATCAGTAGATACTACTGTAGGCCCAGTAAATACTACTATGGTCAGTCGTTACTGCTACAATCAGTAAATACTACTATACAGTCAGTAGCTACTACTGGCTCAGTAGATACTACTGTACAGTCACTAGATACAACTACAGAGTCAATAGATACTACTTCCTCTATTTAACCCGCACTTTCTATAACTTTTTGGTGGGGAAATGGACAAACGGCCCACCGGGCTTTCACAATACCTTAGTATCTTATATTCTTAGGTTTTTTTCGGTAAAGTCACGTAGGTAAAAAAATTAAAATTAAAATTAATAAATGTAAAATAAAAATAAAATAAAAATAACGACGTTTCGGAGGCAACACAAGCTTCACGAAAGCTTCAAATCTACCTTAGTATCTGTGTATTTATATGTATGCTTTTTAAGATAAGATTTGAAATATATTTTTTGCCCGGGCAACGCCGGGTACTTCCCGCTAGTATGTTATAAAGGGACCCTAAATAAAATTTAAAAAACACAAATATTCAAATATTTTTTAACTTGCATAAAGTACTTATTATTTTTTTTTATTTGCTATACAGCCAGATAATACGACAAATCGCTAGCCTTAAACACACAGTCGTTCATAATATTTGAAGGCAGTATACTAGTATAGTATTATAGTAATAGAGCAGGTGCAGAATCACTGAACCGGAATTGATAGCTTGAAAGCATTTAGCGCGGGGGCCTTTAAAGTGCGGGGCCCGTAGCATAAGCTACTTTTGCTTCTAGGATAATCCACCACCGACGTTACCGGAAGGCTCAATTGCATCACATTTTAAAGTGGCATTTAATGCAACAATTAAATCGTAACGAGTTGAGTGGGAGCAGCGGCGCAGTTTTCTGTTAACTGCACTGCGAACCGGGCGACCCGAGTCCAATCCCTGCCACGGCCAATACCGGTGGTGAGTTAAGCAACATCAGTGGCGAGTAATATCTAAACTCTAAATGCTTATTATTGTAAATTCTAACACTGTTTGAGACTAGGCTCTAAAGAAAGCCGTCTATGGTGTGGAACAATCAGTTTCAAAGACAATGCACATCCTGTCAGAGCATGTTTTTTTGCATGTTCACCACAAGTATGTGGTTATAATTGTTTTTTTTTACCCTTCTATCTGGCAACAAAACTGACACCTTTTTTTACAAGGAGTCATGTTTGCATAGACCACAATACCTGCAGTCATTATGCAAACAAAAAACATAACTCTGATAATGTATGCACTGTCCTTGAAGTTTATTGGTCCACACCCGAGACAGCTTTCCTTAGAGCCTAGTCTCACATGGGTTGGACCAGATGACGCCAAAAGGCGCACAACTCAAAGACAATGCACCATCAGAGTACGAGAGCTCGGGGTAAGCATTTACACCATTGGAACCTCATTTGCCAGTAGTAAAATATGATAATTGTTTTTTCTACCCTTCTATCTGGCAACAAAACTGACACCTTTTTTTACAAGGACAGTGCATACATTATCAGAGTTATGTTTTTTGTTTGCATTATGACTGCAGGTATTGTGGTCTATGCAAACATGACTCCTTGTAAAAAAGGTGTCAGTTTTGTTGCCAGATAGAAGGGTGAAAAACCAATAATCATATTTTTTACTGGCAAATGAGGTTCCAATGGTGTATGTGGTTAATGCAGACATGATTCCTTGCAAAGGTTTCAGTTTGGTGTTTTAACATCGTAACACTTGTTTTATTGCCATGAAAGGGGATCAACCTATTTTCATGTTTATTAAAGTAGAGTAAGGCTGTGAGACTGCTGACCTGTGACCTGACTGCTCGAATAGGCTTTACCCAAATAAAAAAAAATCAGGGTAAAGTCCAATTCTCATGTTTTCATTATTTTGATACTGGCATTAAGGTCCCGTAGATAATCGATTCACCCATGTCACAACCACATCTTAAAAGCCAACCCCATGGACATTTTTCACGTCAAAGCTTTTTTTTTAAGTAATAATTTGAACAATTTGTTTTTAAAGCTCTAGCAGCATGAAGAACAGACCTTCTTCCCTGGGCCGCTCCCCCATCATCGCTGGCCAACCGTGGGGCCTCGGCAACGTCTCCTCCATCCTCACGGGCCCCCAGGCGACAAGGGGAAGCCTTGCAGAGTCCAAGCGTGCGCATCTGCAGGAGACTGGAGACCGACTCACGGTGACACAATGGACACTTCAACTCTGCTGACAGCAATGGCGATGCTTGGAAAGCAGTAAAGTTCGATGTCAAACTCCTCGCGAGAGACGATACGATGCAGAACACCCCCTGGGCTTTGAAAGCCTATGGACCAATAACCCCCCCCCCCCCCCAACAGCATCGTCCACTGCACATCAACCATGGCAGATGCAGATACTCAGTAGTGGTGAAGATGCACAACGGGAGATGACAACCTCTCCTGGCGGTGGGCTGAGACTGGTTCTGCGCTAGGGTGGTGACCACATAGCCGCGTCACGTGGACTCCGTAACGACTCAAACACGGAGCAGGGCTGGCTATCGTCACAGCAGCGATGACTCACTACTCTGGCTACTCCTGACGCAATCTCATTCACCAACTATGCAAAAGGAGTTGGTCCGTCTACATCAGCCATATGAAGCCGATAGGTGTAATAGCAATCCATTCTCATGTTCACAACTCAAAATTTTCCATTTTCACGCAGCTGCTGCTGTGTGGGACTGTTCTGCACAACGAACCTTGCAATGAGTTCCACTCCTGGGCAGTTACCGTCATTAGCAACTGCTCCAAATTCTAGCTCCACCTCCCATAACCAACACGATGGTCAAAAACCCAGTCGAGGGCTTCATCCAGCAGGGAATTTAAGTATTGAATTGCCCATGTAGTTAATGCAAGACTCCTTTACAGCTGCTAGGTTGTTACCAGTAGATACGAGTCAACATGTAACCACGAATAGCAGCGTCTGTACGGTTGGGGGGACAGGTAGTGCATTTACAGACGGGTTAGGGAGCATGCGTTCAAACCCCCACCCCCAACCACATTGAACATGGCCCTAGGGGTTAATGTAGCCCTTTGCGTGCAGAAACAAACATGTTAGGATGCAATACCCCCCCTTCCCTGTACACCAAATCCACCTCCTGACCAAGATGTGGGTAATCTCTTAAGGCAGCACTGAAGTTCCTCTTAAGCACTGGATATATGCAGCATTCAAAAATAAATTGACAGCATCAGGGGTAATGAAAGTCATTAGGATTTTAGCAGGATCAGTGTTATAGCACAAAGCACTATTCCCCCCCCCCCTCCCAGGAAAATCAGCTCCACACCCACGGGTCTCATTCGTGAAGGGATTATTGAAGAGTGCAGTGGGAAACAATACAGCTGGCATTTAAGTGCAGGAGAAAATTGGATGGCATCGCAGGAAGCCCAGCCGGGTTTTATCAAGAGCCCTTCACCCGTTAGAATATTTGAAATTAAGGGGGGGGGGGGCAGGAAATGGAAAGTGACAGGGTGAGTGTTACGACAGCGCTCAGGGAGGGATTTAACCAGGTGGAACAAGAGCTCACAAAGAAACACAACCACCATGAAATTGGAGAATTGGTGGAACCCCCAGGCCAAAAATGGAGGTGCATTGGCAATGTCGTCAGGGGACACAAGGTGCTGCGAGTTTTTCCATTATGCTCGATGGCGTCGCAAGCCGAGCTAGGTATTATCCATTTGGAGCAGTGCAACCCCCTAGGGCAGGGGTCGGCAACCTACGGCTCCGGAGCCGCATGCGGCTCTTTACGGGCTGCTCCTTGACGATGAGTACGTATGTACTCGGATGCATTGCGGCTCTTGAAATACTGAATTTTGTACCGAATTGGAAAGAAATGGCTCTTGTTATTTTGGTTGCCGACCCCTGCCCTAGGGTTAAACATGCCTAAGAGATAGCCAGGCAAGACACCCTTTCGTTGTTAATCGTCTACCATTAAAGCTGGTGCAGAACTTCCAAACCCTCCACTGTGGAGACTCCAGGGCCATGACAGCCCAAGCAGAACTGGAGAATTGCCAAATTGCCCCACCAAAAAGGAGGCGAGATGAAGTCATGGGCAAGTGGGCAGAGGCCAAATGTCACTTGGGAGACTTAACCACGGGTGGCTGCCTAGCTTTAACCCCAGGTTCAAGCAGTGGCAGTCCCATGTGCAAAGCCACGTGTACAGCAGCAGCCTCAACCCTTGAGCACGTCACTGGGTCAGGCCACAAGGTCTTGGAGGCTTTAATGGACAATGCACGCGACTGTCAAGTTGCATAGCACGCAATTAAGCGGGAATCACCACACGAGTGCAAGGATGTGCAGCAGAAATTCGGTTTATTTATGTTACACAGGGGAACAAACGCCGCATGCCAGACATAGCCACCAACAGCACCATTTTCTCAAATCTAAACAGGACCCTGATATTTTCTATAAAGTTAAAGGCAAAACCAACGTCAAAAAGCTGGTGTCCATTAACACACCCAGCACTGTAAACTCGACTGCAGACAATCCAGATCTCCCCCCCCCCCGCTCCATGTCAGCCGAGTGTCACAAGATCTGTTTTTGCCAAGGAAGCTTCAGACAAACCTGGCAAATGACTCGGCATGGTTCTGTAAACGCCAAGTGTGTCACCATGATGCATGTTTGGGAAACCAATGCCAACCGCTTCAAAATTTTAAGCTGGCCAGTTATTTAGCATTTGCTTGCAAAATTAGTAATTTGAACATCACTACAACCCTGGCTGGCTTACAGTCCCTTAGCACGACACTTCAGGAGATGTGGAACACCATAAAAACACGTGCACACCAAGCTCCAACGTCAAAGCATGTAATAACGTTAAGTATCCAGTTGCCTTGGTGGCATCAGCAAGCTAGAAGGATAAACTTGACAAGGCAGCGATTAATCCACTCCAGTCTTGGGCTGGAATTTATAGCCGTAGTGAAATGTGCCTGGGGAGGGCATTCAAGTAGCCAATAAATACAAAGACTAGCAGATTATTCTGCATTAAGGATGGGTGCATCTGGAGATGCTCATGGGATTATAATAGAACACGTTGCATGGATTGGGGAGGGGGGGGGAAATCGGATGACGTTGTCAGTCGTTACAGGTCATCGGCGAGCTCCCCAGGGAAGCCGAACACGTGGCCGTGGTAGAAGGGACCTACCACCCAGTTAAGCGACGAGTTGTTGATGGCGTGGTCGTACGCACGGTTCACCACGGCTGTGCACATAGACTTGGCCACGGCGAGGGAGCGGCGCGCCAGCCAGCCCACGGGCATCAGCGCCTTGGAGAGCAGCAATGGGATTTTGATGGTGCACTTCTGAGACTGGGGGAGGGGCGAGGGGGGTGTAGACGAGACTTAAAAATTGGCTGCACAATTAACAAGGGCAGAGCCATACTAAAAGTGGCCAAAAAGAGCATTGTTAAAGTGGTCAAGCGTTGAGAAAATATTAACTGTGGGTAAGAAAAAAGTGAACTTGAGATGTTGGCATGAGGCCTTCATCTTCACCACAACCAAATCGGCATTTCCACCACGTGAGAAACGTGCTACAAACAGCACCGATGGCAGGGGGGGGGGGGGGGGGGTGTGTGATGTGTTCCAGCAGGAGGCTATACGTACATTAGCGTCGCTGGGCTCCTGCTGCTACGAAGCCCACGCAGGAGTGGTGCATGGCGCTGGCTCTGCGCGCACACAGGTCGTAGAGGCCTCGCGTCACACGGCCGGCCAGCAACGCCACACGCACCACGGGGTGGGAATCCTTCCCGTGGTAGACTGCTTCTGCCTCAGGAGCCATTCCACCTGGAAGGTGGAGGGAGGGGGGGGGGGGAAGTCACAAAAATGTACACGGTGGTTGTCGCTGTGCGCAAGGGAACCCACACCCATAGGTGTGACAGGGTCACGTAGTCACCTGGTACAGCCAGCAGTGTTGCACCTGGAGATTGCCATTGCAGAGACTGGCCATGTAAACAGGGAGGGACACTGTGCAACTCAGGACTGCCAAAATCACGACCCCCCCACGTGAAGGTTTTTGTACAGCTATTTGGCAATAGCCATGAATTTCCATGAGACCTTGAAGACTGTTTGAAACAAGAATCGGTGCTTGGCAACTCTGCATGCGGCCTTTTCATCATAAACCAGAGCCACCCAGCATCCATTATAAAATCAGAACCTGCCATGGAATCAATTCGTTGGTGTCATTTGAGCACCACTTAGTCTTTCCAGATGGGCCTCACTTGCCATAAAATATGAAAGGCAAAGTTGTGATTGTGTGTCCGTTCAAAATGTGTAGCGTACTTCCCAACATACAAACTTGAAATGTGCCATGTGGATACTTTCCAGATTTTCATAATTTGTGCATTATGTACAACACAAGTCTGCTTTTTTGGGGGCGGAGAGCTCAACGCATATTTTTTGTACGGCAAATGAGTCGTGCTGTCAAGTGGAAGCATAACGCAGTGTAGTGGTTAGCACGCTGCGAACAGAGTTAGATTCCTGCTCACGTCAACTGGTCCTGGGCCTCCTAGGTCGACACAAACAAGTAACTGGTGTGTTGTGCGTGAACATCGCCAATGGGGATGCAAAGGCAGCCAGGCATGGTGAATCCAAGTCCGCGGCAAAGCCGGTATAGTACAGCTAGTGTGGCATAAAATCGGGTTCTACATTAGACTGTACGGACATGATGCAATTGACGTTTCATTTAAAAACTAATTACTACAGGTGGTTCTTAACACTGGGTGAGAGAGCTGGCCACATTTCAGGTGAAAAATAGTGCCAGTGCTTAAACTTGTAGTTGCAAATGTTTCAAACCCATGTATTTAACGTTACATTCACTTAAAACCCAACAGGGGTGTGTGGACGCAGCAATGGTTTAACCAGCATCGATGTACAGCAAATCAGCCACAGGTGGCTACCCTAGGGAGTTGCAGGCCTCACCATCGTGGCCTTGGCCCTTCAGGTAGCAGCCGACGTATTCCTCAGTGCGGCACAGCACGCAGTCCACACCCGACAGCAGCCTGGGCCCCAGCTGGCCCAGCAGGGAGCGTGAGGCGCTCACGGCGCCGGAGAGCACGCTGGCAACGGCGCCAGCCACGCTGCCCAGGGCGGAGGAGGCAGCTGGGATCTCGCCGCTTTCCACCTGTGCACAAATTACAGCAGAGTTCCGCAAGATGGAGGTCTGATGCAAATGCTTACAGAGTTCAATACTCCGATGGTGCGTTGTCCGAATTGTGCACCTTTGTGTCATCTGGCCAAACACCATAGACTGGGCTCTAAAAAAAAAAAAAATCTGTCTTGGGTGTGGACCAACCAGTTAAGGACAAAGTATACATTATCAGAGAGCTGTTTTTTTGCATTTTGACCACAGGTCTTGTGGTTGATGCAAACACAACCCCTTGTAAAAGGTAACATCTTCTTGGTTCTTTCGGTAAAGTCACGTAGAAGGGAAGTAATAAAATAATAAATAATTATTTTATTATTTTATTACTTCCCTTCTACGTGACTTTACCGAAAGAACCAAGAAGATGAATCCCTGCAGTCATGAAAGCTTTAAATCGAAGGTAACAGTTGTGCAGAATAACCCATTATTATATTCTGCAAGATGGTATAAAATGTTAGGCCGACTTGATGATTAGAAATGCCATTTAAAATATTGGTTTGAGTTGCAGCAACGGCTCGAAATGCAAGCATTGTATACAAGGCCCATGTTGTGGTAGATAGTACAAAATAAACTTAGACTCAATCATTCGATCCCAAAAATAATGTTTATCATGGGGTCATAAGTGTGTAACTTTAATAAAGTGTTCCAACAAGCAAAACAAAAAAGTTTACATTAAGCACACGTGACAAGCCTCGCGATGTGGGGTGCAGAGATGTCACATTGTGGCCTGTATTACAACTGCCAAAGAAAAAAAAGCCTCCGTCTACATTTCCATGGAGACCAACCTCGTGGTCCGAGGGGTGCAGCAGCGACAGCTTTGTCTCCAGGAAGTCCACGCCTCTCACCGCCAGACGGCTGGCCACCACCACTGGGGGTCCACACCCACCACATTACAACGTCACATCTCACACCCACATCTTTCAGTCAAGCCCATCAAGCAATTATTTTGTCCTAAAAAAGTCTCGATGTACACCTTTGTGACGTTTGCATGGAGCCTTTAACCGCACAAGATTGTTGGGCCAAAGCATCACTTGGCCGATTTATCGTCGGCCGAATGTCAGCAGCAAGCCTCGTGAAAATTATTAGTGCGCTTCAAAAAAGTTCAGAGAATTTGCAATACCACGAGAGAATGTGTCCTCCAGGCTCTGGAGAAGAGTCTAGGCGCTTGACAACGATGGCAAGTGGACTCTTACTGCAAGTTACTTTTGTTATGCAAGTTTTGCCCATTCTTTCCATTAAAAAGAATAGTCTCAAAGTGTTAACATTTTTACAAGCACCCTCTTGCGTGTAATAACATTTCACAGCATGTTGCCACGTGGTGGAGGCAAAGTGCTTAGCAAAATTCATGGCAATTAGAAACTCTTCAGCATCATTTCCCATGACAGAAAAATTGTATACGACAGGAGACTGGCAGAGCAACCTTGGGGAGGAGCCAGGTCAAGGCGTTTACTACAAACTGACAAACCAACCCACCAGAGAGGGACATGGCAAGTGCACCTCATGCCAGCTGCATTTGGGCACTGGATCAAGAGACTGGACCGATCAGCACCCCCCAGATACATATGGGCACGAGGTCAGATAGGCCATAGTGGTTTGAAGACAGCGGTCAAGTGCCATGACACAGCACGGCCTTAAAAATCGATTGCATTTGTACCGTAATGCCAGTGCAAGACTGACCAAAAATTGGCAAACCCCACACCCACCATCTACACGTAGGTTGAGTGGATCACTTTCAGCATTCCATATCTGGCTCACAGAACACGATTTTCGAGATCTCCACTGCACTACATCGAGCCAACCCCACAGCTACTCACGTTGCGGCTTCAGGGCCCAGGCCACAGGCCAGGCGGTGGTAGAGGCCACGGTGGTGGCGACAGATAGGCCAGTCTCGGCGACCTTGCACGCAGCACCCACGACACCGCCCCGGGCACGCACAGTGCCGTAGGTGCCCCCCACCCGGTCCAGCAGAGAAGCAACCAGCGGCACGCGGTGCAGACGCGCCACCACACCTTCCTCCGTGGCGGTGATGTGTGGGTTCACCGCATGGCTCTGCGGCACCTCCACGGAAGCCTGTGGATAGGTGGTCATCAACATCCCCCACCACCAAATGCCACTGGAGCCAGCAACCACCGCCACCATCATTATCGTTGTGCCTATTTTCCACACTAGCACCAGTGAGCACAAGATTCTTCCAGTTTGGAACAGGGGCTGGATGAAGCCACGTCAAGTCCCACGTACTGCAAGAGTCGGAGGACAGAGTTTTACGGCCAGGCACAATGTAAGTGCATAGCAATCGATTAGAGTTGCCGCATGTGGGGGGCCCACGCAAACCCCAGCCCGAACGCAATTCCAAAAACAGGACCCTGCGGGGTAGGCTGGTAGGAACGAATAACCAAAGAATAAACATAATGTATTATTACACTTGTTTAGCCAGGAAAGCCTCACCGAGTCTAAAGGTTTTTGTAGGGTCATGCCAAGTGTTTGCAGTAGGGGGCGATGTTGCTACATGTAATCGGACGGACGGACTAACCTATTGTAGGCTGGTTCACTTCGTTCCTACCAGTATAAGCCCAATAGCTCAGGACAATTGTACGTCTGGATCAACCATGAGTGTGCAAAGTGGGGGAACAGACTCCCCCCCCCTCACCACCAGGAAACATTACTGAACAGAGTTCTAGCAAGCCGTGGGGAGCATAGGCAATGGCGACCCCCCCCCCCTTCCCACCTATCCAGGAGCTGCCCATGTTAGACCTGGCTTTAAAAAAAAAAAGCGCAATTAGTTATTTTGGCGGACCATGTATTTTGGGAGGGACCTGTACGAATTAGAGCCAAGTTGGAGCTATAGGGTACTCAGCCGAAGACCACACACACCAGAGTGGACAAACCTCGCACTGTTGTTCAACGTATTCGGCCATTGTGAATCCTCAAAGCAGTTGCAGACCTTGGAGGGGCAGAGGAGAAAGCAGAGATTAGAAACGGCAGCAACAAGGACAGATTGCGTTAATCAGGATGCACGTCATACGTTTACCAAGCCCACAGATGGACAAAGCGACTAAAAAAATTGAGCCCAAATTAAAACCGCGAAATTGGTCTGGCTGGAATCCAGCATCTAAAAACCACTTCACCTGCAACAGCCACTCGCCACAAGAACGGCAATACTAGCCATTTGTTTACCGTGCCAATGCAACAGTCACAGTAGTCCATTTGAAACAATTAACTCTATCGACTATTTCAATGCCGCAAATAAACCAAAACAGCCACTCGTCTCAGCACAGGAGCTCTGCATACAGCTGGTAAGGGGGCTTACACGCAAAACTAGTGGCACTCGACCAAAGTTTGGCAAACCCGCAGCCTTGCAGGGATGCCGCTGTTGGAAGTGCTTCGAAAGAGCATTTGGCCAAACGATGTTACACATTTCCACACGTGCATCCGACAGCAGCATCGCCTACCAGTCCACGCGTCCCACATACCTGCAGAGCTGGATTGTAATGGGCATTGTAAAGTCACAATTTGGCACGGCAATTAAAAACAGAACCTCGTGTCAATAGCCCTCCTGGGGGAGAGCCACACATCAAGTGGTTCTATTCAGGGTGGTGGATGTGGGTGTCATCTTGGGTTCGAAGCGTTTTGAAAACGTCGACGCACGCTGCAGCCGGCTCCCCCATGGGGCAAAGCGCAGCAAGCCTCGGGTTTAGACGACTACTTCCCTTTTTAGTAGCAGCGAACGTCATGGGATGATTATTACACGAGCCAATTACTAGATGTGCCTACCACGCACGAATCACATTTAAAAATGTGTTCCCATAAAAGGTCCTGGTGACGTGCCAAAAAACAATGCTGTACCGCACTTCTATGCTCCCCCACCTCACAGACCGATGCCCCTGGTATTACTCGGTGTGACAGTGTATGCAGTCACCCCTCCAGATCCCGTGTGGACGAGGCTCAAACTCACCCCCACTTTCCAGATAAACATGGGCACAAATCCAATGGCCTGGATTGTGTGTACTGCATGGCAAACACGAGCGCCACGCAGGCCGTCTGTAGAGGCTTTGGGGGAATGTTGCTGTTAGCGAGCACCTATTAAAGCCCAGCACAAGTGCTGCTTGTGGCGGCACAACCGATGCCCGGCCGTCTTTGTCTTCCTTCCCCCCAGCACAGATTTATCAAGAGGCAGAGCCGATCTTAGGCGGGGGGGGGGGGGGGGGGTCTACTAAACAGTCGCCACCCGATGGCTGAAGAGTGGAGGTCGGGAATTGAAAGCGTGGTTACCAGGTTGGTACGTGCGAACCACTACGCCACAGATCCGTGTCGGGGTCGTGCACGCGGACACCAAAGAGCTCCCCCCACCCACGCACATCGCTCAAGATGCGCGACTCGCGAAGTGGAGCCGACCCACGCCCGTGCTGGGAGCGAGCGCTGTTTTAGAGAGCACCTATTAAGGCCGGCGGTGTGTGTGGCTGGCACCACGCCTCGGCCGCCTTTGTCTCTCCTAGCGAGCACCAGCCATCACGATAATGGATAAACACAGGCGACGTCGCAAGCAGCATGGAGAGGAGAGACAAAGAACCCCCGTGTAGCGTACACAGCCTTGCGGGACAAGGGCTGTTAGCGAGCACATTAAACGCCACCGCGATGTGGTCAGCACCACGCCCGGCTGCCTTTGTCTCCCTTCCCTAGGATGCGGCGTTAAAGCATCCTACGCATAAGAAAAAAGGACAAAGTCGAAAGAGCCATTAGCTACAACAAACACCCGCCACCAACGTTACCCCGTGGCAGGGAAGGCAACCCAGCTTGCCTGTGTTGGTAGCAAGCGCAGTGGGCACAAACCCATCACACGCGTGTAGCGCTGTAACCACGCTCACCCCCGCAGCGATGGCCTCTACCGAACCAGTAACCCCGTGCAGGCAAATTTATCCACCCTGTGGTGGTTGTGGGTCGTCGTTGGAGAACCCCGGAGGCGAGCGTGGCGAGAGAGCGTGCCACTCACCGGGGGAGCTGATGGAGCGAGGCAGAAGCAGTGATGACGCAGCGTCGTGCAGACTCTCAAACGCCGTCACTATATAGACCCACAACGCGCGCGCAATGAACGCACACGAAACTCATTGTTCACGATTGCAGTTGCGTGCAGGGCGACCGGTTTGAGTGGCGATATCGATTGATAAGTGGTGGCCACGTGGAGAGAGGGGGGAGGACGGTGGTGGATGGGGGGGAGGTGATTACGAACTAATTGGGATGATCGAGAGAAACGCTGCACGCAAAGACAAAGGCATTGCCGCTTCGCCAACACGCTATCATCGCCAACACTCACAAAGACAAAGATCCCCCGGATAGCCTGTAACGGACTGTTGGGGCAAGTGCTGTTGGCGAGCTCCTTTGACAAAGACAAAGATCCCCCGGATAGCCTGTAACGGACTGTTGGGACAAGTGCTGTTGGCGAGCTCCTTTGACAAAGACAAAGATCCCCCGGATAGCCTGTCACGGACTGTTGGGGCAAGTGCTGTTGGCGAGCTCCTTTGACAAAGACAAAGATCCCCCGGATAGCCTGTCACGGACTGTTGGGGCAAGTGCTGTTGGCGAGCTCCTTTGACAAAGACAAAGATCCCCCGGATAGCCTGTCACGGACTGTTGGGGCAAGTGCTGTTGGCGAGCTCCTTTGACAAAGACAAAGATCCCCCGGATAGCCTGTCACGGACTGTTGGGACAAGTGCTGTTGGCGAGCTCCTTTGACAAAGACAAAGATCCCCCGGATAGCCTGTCACGGACTGTTGGGACAAGTGCTGTTGGCGAGCTCCTTTGACAAAGACAAAGATCCCTCGGATAGCCTGTCACGGACTGTTGGGGCAAGTGCTGTTGGCGAGCTCCTTTGACAAAGACAAAGATCCCCCGGATAGCCTGTCACGGACTGTTGGGGCAAGTGCTGTTGGCGAGCTCCTTTGACAAAGACAAAGATCCCCCGGATAGCCTGTCACGGACTGTTGGGGCAAGTGCTGTTGGCGAGCTCCTTTGACAAAGACAAAGATCCCCCGGATAGCCTGTCACGGACTGTTGGGGCAAGTGCTGTTGGCGAGCTCCTTTGACAAAGACAAAGATCCCCCGGATAGCCTGTCACGGACTGTTGGGACAAGTGCTGTTGGCGAGCTCATTTGAAGGCCGGTCAGCACCACGCGCGACCGCCTTTGTCTCCCTCGTGGCGATGTTTACACACCGCACCAGTTATATGAGATGCATGATTGCTATCCCAGCGATCACCTGATTGGCACCGTTAATGGGCACGTGCGTATATTGGACTTATTTCGCAACCGTGCGTCGCCCAACCGTGATGATCCCAGGGTGCTGGAGTTTGTGAGTTGAGCACGTGGCGAGGGGGTAGGAGGGGATGACACAAGCTGGCACTGACTTCATTTTCATTGCGTCATTGAGAGAGGATCAGTGGCTCTTCACCTGGGGTGCACGCTGGGGGTACGAGATGCCGTTCTGGGGGTGCGAGATGTATTGCCAGATTTAGTTTAGAAAGTAAATAATCGAAAACACAAATTAAGCACGGGTGCGTAAGGGGCCGTCCATAAATGACGTCACGCACCTAGGGGGAGGTCAGACATTTGTGACGATGTGTGACGGGGGGGGGGGGGAAATGTGACGTCACATCAAAATGCGCAACTTTAAATAAATATAGACAACACGTTCTACTTAATTAAGTATACTTTTAATAAAGTTTTCGCCTACAACATTGGAGTGCAGCGGCACATTAAATACGCACTACAATGACAATAGTTTAAAGCGATTTGAAGCATGTTTTATTTTCAAAATGGAAATATGGTTTTGGGGGGGGAGGGGAAGAGCTTTGTGACGTCATATTTGAGGGGGGGGGGGGTCTGACTTTTTGTGACGCCGCGTGACGAGGGGGGGGGGTCAAAAAATCGTCCAATATCGCGTGACGTCATTTATGGACGGCCCCTGAATGCACCACGATCTGTGCGCCTCACCGCACTGAGCGAGCGTGGTGAAGTATGGTCCCAACAACCCCCCCACCCCACCCCAGCCCCCACCGCGACCCGCACGGTGTGGGGGGGGGGCACTCATCCAGCAGTGGATTGAGCAAGTTGAGCGTTACACACAAAAAAGACAAAGACCCCCCCTCCCCCCGTATAGCCTGAACAGACTGTAGGGGCAAGTGCCGTTAGCGTAGCACCTATGAAGGCCGGCACGGCGCACGAGGGGGGTGGGTGGCCAACACCACGCCCGGCCGCCTTTGTTTCCCTAGTGGCGATGTTTACTACACACCGCACCAGGTACTCATTTGAGACTGAGTCGACCTAGGGGAGGCCATGCCCGGTTCAGACAATCGTCACTGTTGGTGTTGGCCGTGAGCGGGAATCGAACTCGGCTCGTCGTGTTCGTAGCGCAGCGTAGCGCTAACCGCTGCGCCACCGCTCACACGCGCACGCGCTTTGCACGGGAGGATAATAACTTGTCGACACAAGAGGGGTAATTTTTTTTCTCGGTTCCTAATTGTTGTGGGTTTTACTCTCAAACACACAACCGGTTAGTGCTGTCCTCGCAACGAATTGGCACGTTCTGTTTACGTGACAACTCCCTTACTAATTCTAGACTTGAAAATTTCGTGACTGCAAGGATTCATACTCTTTGGTTTTTTCGGTAAAGTCACGTAGGTAGAAAATAAATAAATGAAAAACAACTAAATAAAATCAAGACGTTTCGGAGGCAACACAAGCTTCCGTCTTCAGGTGAAATCGTTACAGCCAAAATCACTGTGTGTTGCCTCCGAAACGTCGTGATTTAATTTAGTTGTTTTTCATTGATTGATTTTTAACCTATAACACAATTCTCAAAAAAAATTCGGTCAAATTACAAAAAAATATTACTGCCAACTTTCTGCCAGGAAAGTTACTGTTAATTTACAGATCTAATTGTTTTACAGTCATGGGATAATATATTGTTTTTTTACTGAATACAACTGTGTTTTTACGTAGAAATTACTGTAAAAAAACACGGATGGTATTATGTGAAAATATAGTAGATACTGTAAATTTGTGTTAATATTTCTGTAAAAAAATGGGATTTCATCTTCCGTATAATTACGGTAAATTTCACTGGTAACTTTCTGCCAGAAAAGTTACTGTAAATTTACGGAAGAATTTTTTACAGTGTACGTGACTTTAGCGAAAAAAAGAAAGAGTATGAACCCTTACTAAATGGCTGTGTCGGGTGGTGGCGGGTTTAACGACACAACATTTATATTTACGCGATCTAACCTAAAAAAACCCCTCTATTATGGATAATGTTGGTCGCGAAAGCCTCCTCCTACTCCCGTTGTTAGAATGCAAATTACTTGGTCCACCGATGATGCGGCTCATAATTGACCAGTAAACACGGAACGTCCAGCCAAAACGTTGACACGGCCAATTGATAAAATTACAAACGTGGCCAATTACAAAGACAAAGATATTCCCCCCCCGGGATAGCCTTCACAGGACCGTTGGGGCAAGTGCTGTTAGCTAGCCGCACCGATGCAGGTCGAAACGGCACACGAGGGCGTGGTGTGGCCAGGACTATGTCCGGCCGCCTTTGTCTCCCCAGTGGCGATGTTTACACACCGCACCAGGTACTCAATTCAGACTGAGTCGACCTAGGAGAGGCCCAGGACCGGTTCAGATAATCGTCACTGGCGTTGGCCGTGAGCGGGAATCGAACTCGCCTGGCCGGGTTCGGAGCGCAACGCGCTGATCACTGCGCCACCGCTCCCCCACAAAGATCCCCCGTATAGCCTTCAACATACCGTTGGGACAAGTGCTGTTCGCGAGCAGCCCCTATGCAAGCACACACACACGCACGCGCAGCCTACATCTCTCTCGCAACCTCCTCTTGTGTGGCGCGCATTATCCCGTGGAGAAAAAGCCTTTGGCGATTTCCTCCCTCGTCGAAATGAGCACGAAGACATCTCAGTAATCACGTAGGTAAAAAAATAAAATTAATAAAAGTACATTTTTATTTTATTTTATTTTTATTTTACTTCTATTAATTTTAATATATATATTTTTACCTACGTGACTTTACTGAAAAAACCTCAGAATATGAATCCTTGCAGTCACGAAAGCTTCAAATCTAGAATACATCTCAGTAAGCCGCGCGCAACATCATTTCGACGTAACTCATTCACGTCGGTGTCCATCTCCTCCCGTTTTCCAGCCCCCACCTGAGCCAGGAGTTGACAATTCCACCACCTTCGTACGTCGGGGGGGCGATTCCATCCATAGTACAACCGCCGTTGATGTTCCCAATCGGGTGGCTCTTCACTTTATCGACCGCTGAGGGATGGATGGGCTCTCTGAGCCGACCCGCAAATCTAGATGTGAACTCGCGCAGAACTTGGGATTTCCAGCTGCTCGACAGACTCTGAACGAGTGTGTCCTTAACCTTTTACTGCAAGCCTCCAAGCGTGTAGAATGTTAATAAATACGTAAGGGTTTGACGAAACAAAATTGTACTTACGTGCCCGCGGCTTCATTCGTGTTTCGATGATTTACCTCCACCCAGAGAGGGCATCTCGCAGACACCGAAGGGTGCGCGCACCCCAGGCTAAGAACCGCTGCTGTAAACCACCACAGCACGTACTCTTTGGTTCTTTCTTCACACCTGAAGACGGTCCCTTGTTGTTGCGATCGAAACGTCGTGATGTATTAGTTTTTTTTTCTATCTACGTGACTTTACCGAAAGAACCAAAGAGTATGGATTCCTGCAGTCACGAAAGCTTCAAATCAATAATCCACCACAGCACCTTCGACAAATACCTTGCGACGTTTGGTCGGCGTTCTTCTCCGATGAACGAAGATTCCACGTTCCTGCGACGGGGCCAGGATCTATCCCGTCCGACACGCAAGCTCACGAGACCCGTGGCAGCGAGCGCCAGCCCCAGGCGCGGCGATGCGCGGCACCAATCGGACGCGTGCCCGGTGATGACTTTTAATCGCGGTTGAGGTCATAACGAACGCCAACCAACACGTGATCCTCCTGGAAGGGTGAGATCATGAACGAGTGGATGGCCCAGTGGGGTGTGTGTTTGCGTGGGTTTTTTTTCTTCCACCCATTCATAATTTCGACCGAATTCATTCCCTGAATCCAGATGTTTTATTCTTCGGGTTTTATTTTCATATAAACAGGGGTGCTTAAAAAAAAAAATGTGAACACATCTGAGAATTTGCAACACCACCACGGGAAATGTGCCTCCGGGCTCTGGAGACCACCTGGAGAAGAATCCAGGCCACGCGTTGACAATGATGGTGAACAAATGGAGACTCTTTGACTTTTTGAAGCTATTAACACACATTTGTTATCTCGCTACATTGTAGTATTATCCGTTCTTCTCTCCATTGAAAGCGCGAGTCCCATGTGAGTCCCATGTAAGTGTTAACGTTTTACAGGTAGGAACAACAGGTTCCACACTGCCCACCAGGGATTATGTGTCTGTCTGTCGTGCACGAATGCGCTGTTCAACCATGTTCCTACCTGCCCACTCCGAAGGAACGTGTTTTTGAAGCACCGTGAACAACTCGGTGCCTTCCCTACCCACATCGCGCGGCACGTGGTTCGCTCGCGAATAGAGGCCGCAGAGCGCGCAAGAAAGTTAAGCGTGGAAGCGGCGTTTGCTCGGAAGTTTTAAACGGCTGGGCACAAAGAAGAACACGTGCAATCACAACAACTTCAAATCTAGAAGGAACACGTGGCTTGGAGGCGCCGCTGGTTTCATTACAGACCCGTGACTCGACGCGTTCACGACAGCGAGCGGCGCTTGGGGTAGTCCCGCCACGTGGCCAGACACGTGGCGACGATCGAGAGAGAGGGCCATTAACAGGAGTGGCAGCCAGGGAATGGAACGCGTCCCAGGGTGGGGGGGGGGGACATCCCACACGGGAGATGGAACCACGCGACGAACTCGTTGCACGGCTGCTGTGCGGATTGGTGCAACGCGGCTCCGCGAGGCATTCATTCAGCAGTGGATTGATCGTGGCTAAATGATGTTTCGATGGTTTTGCTTGTGTCAATGGAGTCACTGTGCCCGTAAGAAGCTTGGGGTTTAACGCCAAGTGTGGAACAACAGAAGGTGACTGATGAAAAATAAACATATACGAAACTTGGGGACTGTATACAAATGATTTCATGGAATGTATCAATACTGTAGTGCTTTTATAGCATCCTGAGGGGACCCTTGGCTCACTGGGTTCACAATAGTCAGGTCAGAGACACTGAGCCGGTGCCATTGACTGCTGGGGACATGCGTTTGAATCCGGGGTTGGGCCGCCCTTGATTAAAGTGGTTTCACAAGTGTTACGCGTGACAAAATTGCTCACGGGAGACCCACAGACTTACACAGACCCATAGTCTCATAACTCGCATAGAGACAAGATTGATGATGAAACGTAAGCTCTCAATTGTTCCCAGTTGATGGGTATTATCAGGTTCACAATGAGAGCCATAAACTCACACAGACTTTCACAATTAAACAAATCGAGTTCTCAAGTGTGAGTACATGGTCTCAGCCCGGTCACCAATGACTTAGACACATAGACCTACAGACTCACACAGAGACCCAATAACTTACATAGACACCCATAGACTCACACAGAGACCTACAGACTCACACAGACCCAATGACCTACATAGACCCCCATAGGCTCACACAGAGACCTACAGACTCACACAGAGACCCACTGACTTACATAGACACACATAGACTCACACAGAGACCTACAGACTCACACAGAGACCCAATGACTTACATAGACACACATAGACTCACACAGAGACCTACATACTCACACAGAGACCCAATGACTTACATGGACACCCATAGACTCACACAGAGACCTACAGACTCACACAGACACCCAATGACTCACACAGAGACATACAGACTCATACAGAGACCTACAGTCTCACAGAAACCCAATGACTTACATAGACACCCATAGACTCACACAGAGACCTACAGACTCACACAGAAACCCAATGACTTACATAGACACCCATAGACTCACACAGAGACCTACACACTCACACAGAGACCCAATGACTTACAGAGACACCCATAGACTCACACAGAGACCTACAGACTCACACAGAGACCCAATGACTTACATAGACACCCATAGACTCACACAGAGACATACAGACTCACAGAGACCCAATGACTTACAGAGACACTCATAGACTCACATAGAGACCTACAGACTCACACAGACACCCAATGACTTACATAGACACACATAGACTCATACAGAGACCTACAGACTCACAGAGACCCAATGACTTACATAGACACCCATAGACTCACACAGAGACCTACATACTCACACAGAGACCAAATGACTTACATAGACTCGCACAGAGATCGACAGACTCACAGAGACCCAATGACTTACATAGACACCCATAGACTCACAGAGACATACAGACTCACACAGAGACCCAATGACTTACATAGACACCACTCACACAGACAGCGAGGCTCGCATGGATAACTGACGTATAAAAAGGGCTGCAAAGGCGCAATTGCGAGTTGAATTGCCGACATTTAAATCATTAATCATGCAATTCAGGCAAGCTATGATTCAGGCGAGAATGAAAGCGTTGCGAGACAGGTAATGGTAAAGGGGAGCGTTGGTGACTATCCCATTACGGACCATTTGCCCGAATTAAAAATAACCGTGATTATGCTGTACACAATTACGTCAATGGGAGTAACACTGCAACATTGGCCAAGCCATTGCGAAACCCACACCAACCGAACGGTGTCATTATTGTTTTTTTAAGATTCCCAACTTAAGTTGAACGAGTTCATTTGCGCCTAAGCTCTGCCCGTGTGGCTGGTGGCACGAGGAGGGGGGTAGAGGACAGTGGGAGAGGGGGGTTACAACTCGAGTGAAGATGATGATGACACCGATGTTGCAAAAGTTCGGCGCGTAAAGTCGCGCTCCTATTCGGGACTCTCCGTGCGCAAGAGGCCACAGTGGCCACAAGTTTCGCTTAACGCACGAAACAATAACGCAGAGCCACAGGCTTCTAAATTGTGTTGAATTTCCCCCTTCGCCCTCTCCCCCCACAAATGCATTTAGCCCCAACAGCCAACCCGGTGGTCGGCTTTGACGTGTCCTGCCAATTCACTCCGTGCGATGGCACATTTAACGCGAGCGTGACACAAATAGTGCATCCTCACTGTTGGCTTTATTTTTTTTAAAAAATCCTTTATATTAAGTTCGCTTGCTTGCTTGCGTGCTTGCTTGCTTACGACCGTGCAAACTTTTCGGTCGTTTTTTAACCCACTTCCCGTGATCCAATCGAGCTGACATTTTGCACACATACTCGTTGTGCGAGACAATTAATGTTCATGTAAAACAATTTCCAAAATGTTACACTGTTTAGGGAAAACAAATTAAATATTTAATTACCAATTGTTTAATACTGGCAGACAATCATCTGACCCATAGGTGGCAGCCATCTCAAGCCAAAGGACGAGAGGACTCTAGCCGCCACGCATATAAAGGATTTAGAGTGAAAAACTTTGTTTTTACGGGTTATACTTATTAACTCCCTGATTGAATGGAACTAGCCGGCAACGTTTCAGGGCTTCCTTGAGCCCGGCCAGTCCCAACGAAGCCCTCCACGGTTCGCTCCCCGACCCCGGCACGGAAATACCACGCGGCGAGATGGTAACTCCCTCGCCTGATGTACAGGAGGTCGTGGGTTCGACCCCGATCCAGACCCCGACGCCTGCTGTATATTACGAAGTTTTGCAGTGTATCGCTTTCCGTGGGTTCGACCCCGACGCCTGCTGTATATTACGAAGTATTGCAGTGTCTCTCTATCCGTGGGTTCGATCCCGATGCAGACCCTGACGCCTGCTGTATATTACGAAGTCTTGCAGTGTATCTCTATCCGTGGGTTCGATCCCGATGCAGACCCTGACGCCTGCTGTATATTACGAAGTCTTGCAGTGTATCTCTATCCGTGGGTTCGATCCCGATGCAGACCCTGACGCCTGCTGTATATTACGAAGTCTTGCAGTGTATCTCTATCCGTGGGTTCGATCCCGATCCAGACCCCGACGCCTGCTGTATATTACGAAGTCTTGCAGGGTATCTCTATCCGTGGGTTCGATCCCGATCCAGACCCGACGCCTGCTGTATATTACGAAGTCTTGCAGCGTCTCTCTATCCGTGGTTCGCGTGGATTTTCCTCCGGATCCTCCAGGATTTTCCCCCCTCCACATTTAGAATCAACGTCACGAGCTCAAGAGCATGCGGCTCAGGAGACGCATGGTGACGACCCCAGGTTTAGAGTATTTGGCTGATGCTATAGATTTCCACGTGATAAGCCACTTCTGTTGAGCTATCATTCGTGATAGCCAGGTCGCTTCTGAAAAAGAGCTACAAGGCTCAGCGGGAACTTACCTGGTAAAATAAGTTTTAATAAGACGACACACACATACAACCAGCTTGCCATTCGTAGTCAAGACTTCGACAAGAACGAACCACGACGTGATACAAAAGCAAAGCACTCCGGTGTGTTTTTTTCCTAAAACCGGTTACTCATTTCAAAACTTTTATTTACAAAGTTTCTGCGTTGGAAAATGCAGACGGAGGAGAGAGGCATTCGCGACATGCAGCGCCCACGGCCCACCACCCGGCTTCCCCTGCTCCATGGGTTACCGCATACAAACCATAGCGTACATACATAGACACGTATCGTGCGCGTGTGTGTGTATATATATGTAGACACACACCCATGTATACATATAAAATTGGTCAGGGTGGATATTGCGACGTTGTGCTGTGTATAATAACAAATTGTGGCGGCGAGGATAACGGACGCAGGACCAGATCGAGGTCACACAGACACGGCCGACATCTGCTACTTGCCGTACGTTGCAGTTGCCACGAGCCATCGGGCAAGCGATCGTGGTACCACACAGCGCACACTCGCTAACACACACGCGTATACGCACGCACTCGCTAACGCACACACTTGTATACGCACGCACTCACTAACACACACACGTATACGCACTCGCACGCACTTGCTAACACACACACGTATACGCATGCACTCGCTTACGCACGCACTCGCTAACACACGCAGTCGCTAACACACACGTATACTCACGCACTCGCTAACACACACGTATAAGCACACTCGCTAACACACACACAGATACGTACGCACACACTCGTGTACACAGACGTATGCGCATACGTTCAGTTCACACACTCACACATATGCACACTTGCGTACACACTCGCACACACGTCCGTGCACGCATACACACACACTCACGAACACACACATACGCACACATTTGCGTGCACTCATTACGCACACACTCGCTAACACACAGACAGGTTCGGAACAATGCAACGTGCAAACCACGCCACTACCGCACACCCCACACACAAGACACACACACGTATGCACACCAACAAAGACATACACCCACACACGCACACACTTGCGTGTATTCTCTCGTAACCCGTGGTGGGACAAGGGAGCTCCGACGGGGCGAGGGGATCGCAGCCGACGGCGTCAACAACAGCGGCCGTGCCGTCACGTCGCGGTCTTGCGCTTCTTGACGGCGGGCCGATCGAAAATGTCACGCACGCCGGCTGCCTTCTGCTTGTAGAACTTGGTGTTCTGCGCGTTGTCCTGGGCCCAGGCCGAGTCGAAGGCCGTGGTGTCCTGGTCCACCAGGTGAGTGTACTTGGTGCGGCCTGAACGGCCAAAGTTCTTGACCTGCGGGCGGGCGGACGGGGACGGGCGGTCGGTGGTCGGCCCCCACAAAACAACTCGTCAGCGTTGTACGGAGCGGTAGCCGGTATCCAACATGTGATCACCCCCTTGCCTGCCTCCAACTCTGTACACGAGACCACGTGACCTCGGTACACTCTCATCCCCCCGATGGCTCCCAGCGCAATGCCGCATCAATTTCAAGATCGCAACACTCGCCGTCTTCAAGATCCTCCGTGGACTCTGCCACGCCTACCGCTCCCCTCTCATCTCACTCTGCTCCCCTCCACGCACTCTCCTGCCTCTCCTCTCTCGTCTCACTCTACTCCCCTCCACGCACTCTCCTGCCTCTCCTCTCTCGTCTCACTCTACTCCCCTCCACGCACTCTCCTGCCTCTCCTCTCTCGTCTCACTCTACTCCCCTCCACGCACTCTCCTGCCTCTCCTCTCTCGTCTCACTCTTCCCCTCCACACACTCTCCTACCTCTCCCCTCTCATCTCACTCCACTCCCCTCCAAGCACTCTCCTGCCTCTCCTCTCTCGTCTCACTCTACTCCCCTCCACGCACTCTCCTGCCTCTCCCCTCTCATCTCACTCCACTCCCCTCCACGCACTCTCCTACCTCTCCCCTCTTATCTCACTCCACTCCCCTCCACGCACTCTCCTACCTCTCCCCTCTCATCTCACTCCACTCCCCTCCACGCACTCTCCTACTTCTCCCCTCTCATCTCACTCTGCTCCCCTCCACGCACTCTCCTACCTCTCCCCTCTCATCTCACTCCACTCCCCTCCACGCACTCTCCTGCCTCTCCCCTCTCATCTCACTCCACTCCCCTCCACGCACTCTCCTGCCTCTCCCCTCTCGTCTCACTCTACTCCCCTCCATGCACTCTTCTGCCTCTCTCCTCTTGTCTCGCTCTACTCCCCTCCATGAACTCTCCTGTCCCCTCTCATCTCACTCTACTCTTCTCCACGCACTCTCCTACCTCTCATCTCACTCGACTCCCCACCATGCACTCCCCTAGTTCTCCCCTATCATCTAGTCACTGTTCCCCACCACTCACTCTCCTGATGATAGGGACAATGACAACAATGAGGTCGTGATCATGATGGTGGTGGCCATGATGATGGTGATGGCGATGATGATGGCGATGATGATGAGGTCTTGATCATGAAGATAAGAGGACGAGGTGGTATCCGGTTCCCACCTGCATGACTTTAGGGAGGATGGTCTTGTCAAAGTGATCCTCAAGAGTGGGCTCCGTGAAGTCTCGCTTGTACACGTTCTCCTCTTCGTCCTGCGAAATTGCACAACAACAACAACAACAACCACAACCACGTCAACAACCACTCAAACCAGGCGGCTTGGTCGTACCAGCGGTGGGTAACACAAATCAACGCTCGATCATCCACGGCTGGATTATCCGGTTGGCAGAATAAACGTCCTTGCGAAAACATTCAACGTAAGATACGAACGTTTATGACGGTACTCTTAGGTTTTTTCGGTAAAGTCACGTAGGTAAAAAAAATAGAAGTAATAATAGAAATAAAATAATAAAAGTTTATGACGGTGTCAACCGTTAAATACACTTCACGGGGAATCGAACTCTGCTCGCCAGGTCTGTCGCGCATCGCGCCGACCCCTGCACCGTGACCACTCCCACACGCTCACGGTCTCCGCACGCTCACGGTCCCCGCGTGTTCGCGGTCCCCGTGGGAACGGCGTGACTCCCGTGTAGCAGCGCTCACCATGAAGAAGGCTCCGCGGTGGTAGTACTTCTGCAGGAACTTGTACTTGCCCTTGGACACGCGATTGGTGATAACCTTGGGGTTGGCACGCAGCTCCGCCCGCCGCTCCTCCTCCGTCATGGTGTGCATGCGGTCCAGCTCCAGCTTGTCCTTCTCAGCGCTGCGCAGGGGGACCCCACGGACAAAGCAACCCCACCCCCCGATCAACAACAACGCACGGCAGGTACTCTCCTTTTTTGTATTTGATTGTCAGCCAACACTGGGTAAAAAACAACATGGGCATTTTCGTTCTCTTCTAGCATGTGCACCAACAGGTGCTTGTGCACAAACAGGTCCACGTACACCTCTTGTTCTCTTTTAGCCCCCACCCTCCCAATACGTTCCATTCATTGGCTACCACATTCTGATAAGCTCCCCCCCCCCTCCTCCCCCTTAACTTGTATTTAAGAACTTGTATCTCGGAATCTCTGCCTCACTTGATACAGCAAATCTGGCTGTGACGGTCCCACCTGATGACGGAGACTTGTGTTGCCTCCGAAACGTCGTGATTTATTATTTTATTTCTATTATTACTTTTATTAATTTTATGTTTTACCTACGTGACTTTACCGAAAAAAACCTAAGAGTATAAGGGGAAAACGCTTCGCCAACCTGCTTGCTGTGCTGCCAACTCGCGGCCCAGCCGGTTCAGCAAATCTCTACGCGATTCACCAACCCTGGCCTACACAGTGCTGGGTCACAGGCGTGTACCACCATGGCGGGCTGCCCTCAGAGATGATGCTATCGGTACAAGGTTACCGCAGCCAGTTTAAACATGCACCATCATGCGCTCCGTTTCTCTGTATACCCTGTGCGTGTACTGCACCTCCCATTAGCATAGTTGGCTATGGACGGTGTGAAAGAAGTTCAACATATATACACGTACGTCCGTGTGGAGCAGGAGGCAGAGAACAAGCCCTGCACACCTGTTGTTCTAACTGTGTGTGCGTACTCCGTGGGTACGATGTGCTTAATGCTGTTTTCGCTACGCGATAACTCTGTGCATACCTGGTATGCCGACTGTATGTATACCCGTACTTTGTGTGCACAACGTGCGAGTAGGCCGCTGCGTACCGGCGTTACGGGCACCAAATTTTACAACTTTCCCCGCGGATATCTCATTTGGGAAACCACACAGCAATGATCGCCTCCTACGGCAGAACTACTGCAGACCTGGTCTGTGAAACATTGCAGCGTCTTTGTGATCGCCTGACGCTATGAGAATAAAGCAAAATCCAAACGTGTCCATGAGCTTACAATGCATCTGTGCGTGTGTGGCGAGTGCCCTGTGCATAAGCCCATCATCAGCGACGATTATATGAACCAGTCCTGGGCCTCCCACAGGTCGACTCGGCCTTAAGCGAGTATCCGGCGCGATGTGTAAACATCGCTGCTCGGGAGACAGAGGCGGCTTGACGTGGATTCCGGCCGCACCGACCCCCTCGCGCGTCGCGCCGGCGTTCACAGGTGCTACTCGCTCACACCACTAAACCCCAACAGTCTGTTCAAGGCTATACAGGGGGATTTTTCTCATGATTTTTCTGCGCGTACCCCCGGCCCCACGTCTGTGTGTATCCCCCGGCTGCGTGCAGTGCGTGCGCTCCCCGTGCCGTGCCACTCACGCCTCGCGCTCCTCGCGGTCCCGCTTGACGCGCTTCAGCTCGCGGACCTTCCACGTCTCGTACTCCTCCTCGTCGTTCTCGTTGTCTGTGTCGATGGTGTCCAGCGCCGCCAGCGTGCGCCGGTTCTCCTCAAACTCGCGCCGCGCCTCCTCCTCCACAATCTACGCCCATTACCCCGTGCACGAAGAAAAAAGATGACCGTGGCTGTGATTTCAATTCGCAAAAAGGTCAAGCTGCAGCCCTGCTTGTGCTTGCTCAAGCACCAGCCGGTGGAAGGGCCCTCACTACCAGCAGGTCGATAAAGCGCACCTCTATGAGCGCCAATGCTGGTTGTGGTGGTTGCCACGGTGGTGGTGTTAGTGGCGGTGATGGTGCTGCTGATACGGGATGCTGGTAGTGGCGGTGGCAGTGAAGGTGGCGATGGCGATTTTTGGTGGCGCCAATGCTGGTTGTGGCAGTGGCCACGGTGGTGATGCTGGTGATGGTGCTGCTGGTGGGGGGTGGTGGCATCGGCGGTGGCAGCGACGGTGGTGTCGGTGATGTTTGGTGGCGCCGATGCTAGTTGCGGTGGCGCTGGTGGTGGCCTTGCTCACCTTGAGCGAGTATTTGCGCCGCTCCTCCACCACGCGCTTGTTCTCTGCCTCCTGCTCCTTCTGCTTCTGGGTCTGCAGCTCCTTCTCCTGTACAGTGAGGCGCTCCTTCCTACCGAGCAGGCAAAGCACGAGATCCCCTTATAGCCTCAACCGATAGAACAGCATATGTTAAGGCCGGCACTATACTCTTTCAAGACAGAACCGTGCTTGGTGCGGACAGTACCATAGATGGAGCAGTAGACAATGAAATAGGCATTGGAACAATTTGACATGCAATTCAGCAAAGTGATGCATAACGCAGTGGACAATGCAATGTTCAACGAGACAGAAAATGCAACAGACAACAGAAGAGACAGGAGAAATGTAATAATATAACACAAAATGCAGCAAACAATACAAAAGACAATGGAGTAGACTGTGATGCATCACAGACAGCCAATGCAATAGACAATACAAGAACAACCACCATTCGCCACTAAGTGGCGGTGACGTCACCACGGCGCTTGTGGCAGGCTATGTGCACGTTGAGGCCACGGGCCACGTGAAGCTTCGAAGGCTCGCTGACAGAAGGTCACAGGGCAGACCCAGCAGGTGCCACACAATGGGACAGACAACGCAGTCGACAATGGGATCCACAAGACAGCAGATCATAGAAAACGGGTCAATGTCCTTAATGGATGAACATTGCTTGAGCAAATGCTTGGCGGACAACGCGACAGGGCACGGGGACGGACGACGCGGTAAGACAACGGCCCCCGCACTTGCGGATGAAGACGGGTTTCAGCAGCGGTTCGGCCTCCTCCTCGCTGTCCGTGTACTCCTCGTACTCCGACTCGGAGCCCGACTCGCCGCCCGACTTCGCCTCGTCCTCGACGTCCAGCAGCTCCGTCTCGTCATCCTCGCGCTCCTTGGCTCGCTCCCGCATCAGGGTGCGCCGCCGCTCGATCTCCTGGGCACCGCCGCCGGGCACAAGGAGGGGAGGGGCACGTCAGCGGGGATCGTTCGCTCGCTAGCGGAAGAACATCGTGGCGGCGTGGTCGTCTCTTGTCTGACGACGACGCTGCCGACGACGGTACTGTTCCAGCGAGTCCACTGCGAGGATGAAGCCAGTCGACGGTTGCCCCTTTGTTTCACCGCTGCCTCAAGGGACGGGCCACACTTTCAACTTATTTGAGTTGGTGTGGCCTATACAATAATTCGGCAGCTCTTTCAGTTCTCTTTGGAGTTGGTGGTCCAGACAAGGCTGAGAGCATTGCGCATGCAATGTGGTGGTTATATGACATGCATGCAAGGCATGATGGTAGTCGTGCCTTCCTGGTCTTTCGTGAGCAGCGCACCGTTGTGCATTGTCATTTCCATGTTCCCGGCCTGTGACAATTTTCCTGCCTTTGTAGGTTTTTCTCATTATTTGCATCAAGCGCTGGATTTAAATTTGCTGACCATATCACGCCTTGTGTGCATGCGCAACTGTGGCTGTCGAGACCGACGTAGTGTCTCCCATGGCGGTTACACTTGTAGACTGACATTTACAGAAGGGTGGTGGTTGCTGCTTGAGACTAATCTTGTTCGCAAAGTTGTCCATTGTAATTTATATGAATAGCTTAATCCCCCCCACGCCCCTCTAGTCTTAGCACCTGATTAGCTCACAAGTGACGACATCGCATTTATCCGTCTATTTAAGATCAAAATCGGGAGGATTTTTCTACAACTCTGGCTGTCGCCTGATGATGCTGGTTGTATTTACCGACTAAACGTCGTACTCGAATTGTAAACCTTGTGGGTTTACTCTCCAACACCGGTGTGCTGAACTAGTAATGAATTGCCATGTTTAGTTTACGTGACAAACCGTACTAATTAGCTCTGTCGGGTGGTGGCGGGTTTAACGACACATTTATATTTACGCGATCTAACCCAAAAAAACCTCTATTATGGATAAAGTTGTCTTTTTTTCTCAATATAGGAAATACGTTGTTTCTAAAACCGTGCCCTGCCACCCCTAATTGTTGAACCCACAACGTGGCCTGTCCGGTGCTATTCACTCACCAGCTATCAACGTCACAACAGGAAAAAATAACAAAAAACTGAAATAGGACCACAGACTTGGGACAATGAAAAAGGATACCATATGAAAGACAGACGCAATAGAGATTCGAGGTTTTAGGAGGATGTTGAGAATAGGATGGACAATAAAAACAAAGATGTGATAAAATAATTGGGACATCGGTATAGAACGATGCAAGATTTAGTCAGAGAGAGGAACGTGGCATGTCCTGCGGACGGGGGGGGGGGGGGGCGGGGAGCCTCCTCCTACCTGGGAAAAGAGAAGGCAAAACGGGCAATAGGAAGACAAAGATGGATACGGTGCGATTCCATTAAAGAAAGAAAGATGTAATTCACAGGGCTATGGAGATGCAGGGCAGGAGTAGACGGAGACCGAGGGTGATAAGGGAGAATGTGGTGGAAATGTGAGAACAGTAGACGTGACAAGAGGCACATAGTAGAAGCACACTGGGGAAAGAAAATCTGACCAGCCGACCCCACGCAGTGATGGGGCCTCTAGTTTAGAAGTAGGAACAGTTCACGGAAGCCTGCATTGGTGGCTATGGCTGCAGTGAAGGGTCCACCCACCTCGTCATCAATCTCCTCCTCCTCTTCCTCGCTTGTGTCCTCTCGGTCGGCGAGAGGGATTCTCCTATCGTCATCATCATCGTCGTCATCGTCGTCGTCTTCCTCCTCTTCCAACACCTCCGGCTCGACGATCTGCCGGTGCCGGGCCAGCCTGTGTGCCGGCAAAAGCGAGCAGACTTGTCACAATTGCTCGAATAAAAACGATTTTGAAGCTCGCACCACATGCGTTGAATCGCGCGTTTGAATAAACTATTTATGATTTATGCCACACGCAAGTTAGTTACTGCATGATGCCACCAGCAAAAAATTGGGAGGGAAATTTTCAAATGAAAGAACAACAATAAACGAATAACCAGTCCTACTTATCTGCATAAAAATGTTTATGTGTATATAATATATTGTCGGCCAATCTGGAGTTTTGAGCCCTGGGAACATGTCTCGACTGTCCCTCCCTCCACTAAAGTTGGCTCTGGCACTAACAGCACGGCATCTGGAAACACAGTCCTGCTATGTATCAATGTAACCGTCAAGTGATGAAGATCACTGTCGGCGACAGAACTGCATGGACCGGAGATTGCTTGAAGGGATCTCGGAAGTGGTTTAGCGATATCCGCTTCTGCGGGCAGTTCTCTAACACAGGGGGGCACGGGGGGGGGGGGCACGGGGGGGGGGGGGGCTTGCTCTGGTCGCACACCTCTCCTCCACGTCGTCCTCCAGCTTTCGCGCCTGCAGCCGCTTGAGTCGAGCGTCGTTGGCCGCGGTGGAAGAGGAGGAGGAGAGCAGCGCCGGGGGGTCTCGCTCCGCATCGCGATCCGCCTCCTTGGGGAGGCGCCGCAGCTTGAAGTCGTCCTCCCCCTCCTCTTCGTCGGACGACTCCATGGGAGCATAATCGGGCCGTTTGCCCGAGATGTAGCGCTTCACTTTCACTTTCTCCATGGAGAGCTCGCCTGCGAATGGAGATCGAGGAAACAAGCAGTGGTTGGAGTGGTGATGCAATTATTCCACGAAAAAGTCGATTAATTGCTGCTCCGAGATTACAATTCGATTCAAATGAGATTCTGTTTGAGTTGTGATTGATATTTGTCCCACATTTTTTTCTGCAATCATGATTGTGCCATTAATATTGCGTCATGAAGCAAAGCATCAATATGGAACTCTTCCAGACCAATGCAAGTTTTCATGTTAGGGAACAGCTCACAGAAGCAGATACCACAGAACTATCTCTAAGATCCCGTCAAGTGACCTCTGTTCCACACAGTAACGGGTACAAAGAGTATTGTTCCTCGGATGACAGTCGAACCAAAATATTTTATTGTAATATTTTGAAGATAGCCAAAGAGTATGGATCCCTGCAGTCACGAAAACTTCAAATCTAGATAGCCAAATTAAGCGCAGAATTAATGCAATGTGATGGATTGTGTTTTACGTCATTGGGGACCGGGCTGAAACCATCAACTCAATGCACTCGATACATGCATCGAATTGTGCAAGTGAGAATGTTAAATTTATGCAAATTCACCCACCCGTAAATTAAATGCATTGTATCGATTAAGGCTCGCTAACTGATTTAACTGATTAAAACTATGTTTATTTAATTTGAACACTTGTGTTTGCTACATTGACCTAAATGACGCAGAGCATGATTTGAACAGTCAACATCTTACATAGTCGAACATGTATACTTTGCAAACGTAAGTTCAGGTTTTAAACAATTGACTGATACATAAGTTATATGAACTAAGCACTACTGCAATAAATTAACACGTAAATGAGGGGCCATCCATTTAGTACGTACGCATGGAGGGAGGGGGGGGCTTAACCCAAATTCGTACGCATGCGTATGGGGTGGCCTATTGACAATATTGTTTCCCTTCTACGTGACTTTACTGAAAGAACCAAGAATATAATGTACGTACGCATGGGAAACGGGGGGGGGGGGGGTGAAGCCTCGATAATAATTTGTCTACATTGGCCTTCAAATGAGTTAGATAGTCCGGCGGTGGACTATCTGTTTGCTTAAACACGTGAACATTATTAATCCTTGATTGTTTCTGCATGGATTAAATATCGGCCGATCTATAGGATTCGGGGGGGGGGGGGGGGGGTAAAAAGTCCGCGTGCGTACAGGGATGGGGGGGCAGGGGTCAGATTTTTGACAGATTTTTGCGTGCCCACTAAATGGATGGCCCCTAAGACAATGTAAGTCCCCGCAATGATCCATCGATGCCTGACTTGGTCACCCACCGCCTGTCAACACCACCCCTTGTTCTATACACTGCTGGATGATTTTTGCGTGCCTACTAAATGGATGGCCCCTAAGACAATGTAAGTTCTCGCAATGATCCATCGATGCCTGACTTGGATCACCGCCTGTCAACACCACCCCATGTTCTATACACTGCTGGATGATTTTTGCGTGCCTACTAAATGGATGGCCCCTAAGACAATGTAAGTCTCCGCAATGATCCATCGATGCCTGGCTTATATCACCGCCTGTCAACACCACCCCTTGTTCAATCCACTGCTGGATGACGTTCTCCCGACGCCGTATCGCTCACGAGGTGCCGATTAACCCACGCTTTGCCAAGCTTTACCCACACCGGCCACATCGGGTTGGTAAAGCGTTAACCGTGGCCGGGGGATCGAACTCAGCTCGCCGGGTTCGTCACGCGTTGTGCTGACCCCACTAAAGTGGACGTTTAGGGCGACACTTATGGGACCGTTACGGTTTAGGGGCATTTCGTGGACAGCTGCTGGACTTTGCGACTTTACATTTCCATTGCAGACACGGACGACCGAAGCGCGTTCAACGCCCTGAGCAGGCCTTAACAAATACACGTTAATGATTACTGTTAATATTAACGTTGCAAATACATTTTTATTTTTAAGACTCCGCGAAGTTTGGGCCTAGTCGCTCAGGCTTCGAGGCTCACCCTTCTCGTTGTACACGGGCACGGCTCCCGCCGTCGATTGAATGGGCACGGGCCGCGGCCCATGGCTCGACAGCGAGGGCATGGCCATGCTGGAGGTAAAACAAAACGAAGTGAAACTAGAAACGACGACGACGGCGACGATTTAAGTGTCGAGGGTTTCGGGGTCCGAGGCGACTCTCAAGCTCGTTCCAAGCCTGCCCCGACACCAGGCCTCAACGCGGCGGTCACGTGACTACGGAAGCCGCGACTGGGGGGGAGCGCGATTTAATATTGAATACGATATTATATATACATCTCGATATTTAATGTATAATATTGAATACGATATTATATATACATCTCGATATTTAATGTATAATATTGAATACGATATTATATATACATCACGATATTTAATGTATAATATTGAATACGAATACAATATACATCACGATATATATTGAAAAAATACAATATTATACCTACATCACGATATTTAATACATAATTTTGAATACGATATTATATTTCCATCACCATATTTAATACATGCCATTTAATACGAGATTACATATAAACATCACGATATATAATATTGAATACGAATACGATATTATATACACATTACAATATCACGATAATCGCGATATCGATTTAAATTGAAGTTAGCAATTTGTTGTTGTCAATGTTTGTTTGGTCTATTGTCCATCTCGTGTGCCTTTCATTTTTTTGCACTTCTAATAAAAAAACGAAAAAGTTAACGTGCAAGTTTGTTAGCCCCCCCCCCCCTCCCCGTGATATAAGATGGTTGATTGACAGGTCACGAGTAGTGGGACAAAGATTGGGCACTCCCAGCTCTTCCAAGACATCTGGGCAGTGCGGGATTATCGTCGTTGCAAAAAGTAGCTACTTATGCTACGCTACGGTGGTCCGCACTTTTAAGGGCCCCGCGCTAAATGCTTTCAAGCCACACATTCCGGTTCAGTGATTCTGCACTTGCTCCATTACTATAGTACTATACCGCCTTCAACTGTTATGAACGACTGGGTGTTTAAGGTGAGCGATTTGTCGTATTAGCTGGCTGTGTAGCAAATGAATAAATACAATTACTTTGCTATGCAAGTAAAATTTTGTGTTTACATTTTTACGTGTTTTTATTTTATTTAGGGCCCCTTTATAACATATTCTACAGGCCCCGCACTCCTTAATCTGGCATTGCATCTGGGGCTTCCACTGCAGTCGTGAGTATTTTCATTCCACACTACCCCCAACTTTGAACGGTAACCTCCAGAGCTCCCTCCAGTGGATAAACCTTCCGCTTGCAGAACGGTTACCGGTTTAGTGGTTAGCCTTTATCAACCCGAATCGATGACATAAACTTTACTGCAGCCTTGCAACAACTGTGGTTCTCAATTGTTTAAAAAAAGTGTACAATGCTAATAAATACATAGGGTTTGGTGAAACAAAGTAAGTTCACACTTAACGTGGCCGTGGCTTTATTTGTGCTTTCGATTTTTACCTTCTAAAGAAGATCTGGCCATGCATGTGGCTATTATTCTTAACAAACTTTGCGTTTGTGACCAGGACAGTGATATTTTGCAATGTACCTATTGTCAATTAGAAAACGTGGTGTGCATTTGTGTCATTCCTTCACGTAAAGTCCTGGTCACAAAAGCAACGTTTGTGGGGCATAATAGCCATTGCCTATACTTTTGAGGCATAAGCAATTAGAAAATAACACTTATTACTCATTATAGATTTGAAGCTTTCGTGACTGCAAGGATTCATACTCTTAGGTTTTTTCGATAAAGTCACGTAGGTAAAAATCTAAATAAATAATAAAAATGATATAAATAAAATAATAAATCACGACGTTTCAGAGGCAACACAAGCCTCTGTCATCAGGTGGGACCGTCACAGCTAAATTCAGTAAATTCAGTAAATCTAGCTGTGACGGTCCCACCTGATGACGGAGACTTGTGTTGCCTCCGAAACGTCGTGATTTATTATTTTATTTCTGTTATTATTTATATTATTTGTATTATTTATTTTTGTTTTTACCTACGTGACTTTACCGAAAAAACCCAAGAGTACTTACTACCCAGGAACAAAAATCGTGTTACATCGTGAATGATCAACTGTGATCTGATTCTGTATTGGTGCAGGGGGTGCGAGTGGGGGGTAGATGTGGGCGAGGGTGAATGGGGCTATAACCAATGCGACTCCACGTGTCTCTGCCCAATTTGGGCTCCACGTGTCACTTGCCGAGTGAATGCATATGAAGTGTTGTCAGGGCGAGCAGAGTCAGAGCTTGTACTCATACCCATACACAGACAAAGATCCCCCCCCCGACTGTTGGGGCAGGCTCTGTAAGCGAGCACCTACATGTTCACACCCACACAGTACACGTACACACTTACATAACGAGTAGGGAGCTGTCCATAAATGACGTGACACGATTTTGGACGATTTTTGCCCCCCCCCCCCTTCGTCACACGGCGTCACAAAAAGTCAGACCCCCCCCTCAATTATGACGTCACAAAGCTCTGCTCCCCCCCCCCCCCCCCCAAGAAATAAATCATGCTTCAAATCGCTTTATACTATTGTCATTGTAGTGCGTATTTAATGTGGCGCTGCACTCTGATGTTGTAGGAGAAAACATTTATTAAAAAGTCTATCGTAGTGCAGTGCGCTAATTGCTACACTACCGCTCCCACACACACACATACACACACACAGACACACACACACGCACACATACACACGCACACAGACAGACACACACATACACACGCACACATACACTAACACACACGTACACCAACACACACACACAGACACACACACATACATCAACACACATACACCAACACACGCACACATGCACTAACATACACGTAAACCTACACACACACAGACACACATACACACAAAGTACACACACATACACCAACACATACATACACCAACACACACACATACCCCAACACACACCAACACACACATACACACACACAGACACACACATATACACATATCCCAACACAACAACAACAACAACCGCCATTCGCCACTAAGTGGCGGTGACGTCACCACGATGCTTGTGCCAGGCCAAGTGCACCTTGAGGCCACGTGAAGTGTCGAACGCCCGCTGGCAGGAGGTCACGGGGCAGACCCAGGTGCCACGGGTCGACTGACCGAGATGACCGAGATGACTGGCTGATGCACCACCTGTGCCCCCTACTGTACCAACTTGCTGTGCTTTAGCCACCCGGCGCTCCGCTCGTTGTTGTGAGCGTCGCTCCTCCGCCCTCCGTTGTTGTTGGAGGGCGACTGCCTCCAACTGCCCAGTAGCGTCCTTCACGAGCCTCCTCCACTGAGGCCGATCTTGACACCGCTGGTACCAGTCATCGGCAAGTCCACTCAGCTCCACGTCCTCCTGTACCACGTCACTCCATCTCTTCTCCAGCCCGTGCCGCGCCCGTCTAGCCCCCTCGATCCGGCCGAACAAAAGCTGTTTAGGCATGCGGTGGCTGGGCATGCGGGCTACATGACCCAGCCAACGCAGCCTTGCCTGCCGGAGGAGCTCACTGATGGGACTTTGCCCAGATCTTTCAAGGATTTGTGAGCTCCTCACACAATCCAGCCTGGTTAAACCCAAGATGGATCGTAGGCAGGCCAGCCTAAATGTTTCCAACCGGCGAAGATGCTCCACCAGGGGGGTCCACGTTTCGCAAGCGTAGAGAAGGGAGGGAATGACCGTGGCCGAGAAGACCTGAAGCTTCGTGCGGAGCGACAGACCAGGTAGCTTCCACACAGCGTTACGCAACCGATGAAAATATATTGCCGCTCGACTGATTCGGAGTGAGACCTCTGCTGATAAACTGGAGCCGGTCATAAGCACACTGCCCAGGTATGGGAAACTCTCCACTCTCTCCACAACTGCCCCATCACCAATTGGGAGTTGTGGGGGTGGAGTGTCCGATGGTACAAAATACCCTGGCAGGTGCTTAGTTTTGGTGGGGCTGATGGTAAGGCCCCACCTCTTAGTGGCACGCTCCAGTCTCAGCAGCAGCGTCTCCAACTCCTCTTCTGAATGAGCAGCTATTACCAAATCATCGGCATACATAACGTGGTTGACCAATAGGGAGCCATCCCTTGATCGCACCCGGGCATCGATCAGCCTCCCATTATATCTGTACCAAATGGAAATTCCCCCGGTACAGCTATTGAAGGCTTCACGAACTACGCGGTCAAAATAGATGTTAAATAATGTGGGAGCCAGAGGACATCCCTGTCGCACCCCAAGGTGTACAGGGAAAGGCTCCGACTCCCGGCCACGTAGTTTTACCCGGGCCCGCTCACCATCATGAAGGTCTTTAATGATCGTGAGCAGAGGGTCAGGGACTCCGAAAGCACGAAGAACAACCCAGAGCCCAGTCCTACTGATGGTATCATAGGCCTTGACCAGGTCAATAAAGCAGAGATGTAGGTCTTTTTGGAATTCCCTACACCTCTGCTGTAGCAGACGGACAGAAAATATGGCATCTGTGCAGGACCGCCCTTTCCTGAAACCGCATTGGGGCTCCGCAAGCCTCTCCTCAGCGTGCCTAGCAAGGCGATGTTGAATAATCCTTGCCAGGACCTTACCCGGCACACTGAGGAGTGAGATGCCCCTGTAGTTGTTACAGTCGGTACGGTCCCCCTTCTTAAAGAGGGGGACCACCAGGGCATCCTTCCAGTCCTGCGGAACCCGTCCAGTGGTCCAGACTGTTGTTATGATGTCATATAGGGCAGTCTGTGCACAAACGCCACCCTCCCTCAGCATTTCGCTTGGGAGATGATCTCTGCCCGGTGCCTTCCCTGGTCTCAGACTCCGGATCGCCCTCAGTACTTCCTCAACAGCTGGCACCTCAGCCAGCCACTCACAGGGAGTGACCTCTTCCAATATTTGAGGCACCGCAGCCTCAGCAGGGTTATCACCATTTTGTGCCATGATGTTTTCCTGGCTGAGAGAATTTCCCTCCCCCAGGACCTCACAGAAATGCTCAGCAAATCTGCAAACCTGTTCCTGGGGGTCGGAGATTTTCCTCTAATGATGGTAATAGGTGTGGCGCTGCAGGTTACTTTTTTGATGGAGTTAAATAGTGATTTGTGATCACGGGCCACTGAGGCAGACTCCATCTCCTCAGCAACCCGCGACCACCACCCATCCTTACAGCGCCTTACGGCTCTCCGAACTTCCGAGCGAAGGCTGCGGTAAACCTCCTCATTCTCTGACGTGGGATGCTGTAGGCGATGAGAGTAGGCCTGTCGCTTTTTCTCAATTAACCTAAACACCTCCTCTGTCAGCCAGGGTTTCTGGGGAGGTCTGGACCGCGTACCCAAAGCAGCCATTGCAGCTGCATGAGTCACAGTCTTAAACCTCGCCCATTTACCCTCGACATCAGCTGCAAGCGATGATGAAATTCTCGCTTGCAACTTTCATCAGCTAACTGAGACCAGGCCACTTTTGGTTGGAATGGGATCCTGGGTGTACACCCACCACCGGAGTGGAAGAAAGGCAGGCGCATCTTACAGATGACTAGTCGATGGTCAGAGGGCAGATCAGCTCCACGGTAGGTCCTGGTGTCAAGGACATGGGCTCGCATTCGCTGGTCCGTCACTATGTAGTCCAGCAGATGTTCTTGCTTGGACCCGGCATGTATCCATGATGTTGTGTGGATGCGCCGATGCCGGAAGAGCGTGTTGGTAATTACAAGCCCATGGGCTGCACAAAAATCTAGCAGCCTCCTACCGTTATTATTGAGCTGATCTGGCCCATGCCTTCCAATCACTCCAGACCAGGTGTCAGCATCATGACCAACTCGGGCATTGAAGTCACCCAACAAGATGACTCTGTCCCGAGTGGCCACTTTAGCCAGCACCTGTGACAGGAGGTCATAGAAAGCGTCTGACTCATCGGCTTTGCTTGCATCCCTCCACGGATGTTCGTCTTCGGTGGGGGCATAAGTAACCACGACCACCACTCCTCGCCTCTGGTTGATGGGAAGGCGAGCCCAAATTATCCTGGGGCTTACAGCTTCCCACACCTCACCGCCACGCTCCCACGCCCCCTTCATTCTTTTGTTCAGAAGAAGAGCCACACCCTGTTGTTTGGCAGTCTCCTGCCCCGAGTAGAGGACTGTCCACCCCTCATGGTGGCAGGAGCCAGAACCGGTCCACCGGACCTCCTGAATGCCACAGAGATCCAGGCGGTACCGGTCCAGCTCCCGACAGAGGAGTGGCAGCCTCTCCTCCGCAGTGAGTGTTCGAACATTCCACGTGGCCATCCGCAATGGTTTTTTGTTGTTTCTGGAGGAGCCCCGAGTGTGAAAATTCAATCTCCTGGCTCCGCCAAATTGGGTTTGGCCAGGAGACGTCATAAAAGCCTGACCCCCCGGGGCCTCCGGCACAAGCTTATTAGTTACCGGTTTATGTTTAGTTTGTAGTTTACTGGTGGTTAATTGAAGGTGGAGGGGTTACCAGCCCCTCGCACCCGTCCAGAGCCCCCGTTTAGCCGCTGTGGTGGACACAGACGCCATGAGGGGAGAGGCCAATGGGCATTGGCCCTCCCCCCACAGCACTGCCCACGACAGTGTTGCCCGTCCGGCACCGCGAGGAGGTAGGAGGTTGTTTTGCCAACACACACACACCAACACACACATACACACACAAAGTACACACACATACACCAACACACAGAAAGTACACACACACATACACCAACATACACCAACACACACACACACATACCCCAACACACACACATACACACACAAAGTACACACACCCACACGCACGCACTCTGACACATGCGTGCACGATAGTCGTCGTCGCTTGCGGCTCCGTCATTCCTGTCTGTCCACACTTCGGGGACTCCGAGGGAACGCGGACTGACTCCGCACAGTCGGCAGACGGACAGACGGGAGAGCTGACAGACAGCATGGAGACCATCTCAGAGTTCCTGTCTGACAGCCAAGCGAGGGAGAAGTTGATGAGGTATCGTGTCTGTATGTGAGTCTGTCTGTGTGTGAGTCTGTGTGTGTATGTGTGTCTATGTGTGTATGTCTATGTGTGAGTCTGTGTGTCTGTCTATGTGTGTGTTTGTCTGTGGATGTGTCCATGCGTGTCTGTCTATGTGTGTGTGTGTCCATGGGTGTCTGTCTATGTGTGTGTGTGTCTTTGTGTGTCTGTGTGTCTATGTGTGAGTCTGTGTGTGTCTATGTGTGTGTCTGTGTGTTTCTATGTGTGTGTATGTGTGTGTATGTGTGTGTCTGTGTGTCTGTCTGTCTATGTGTGAGTCTGTGTGTGTTTGTGTGTCTATATGTGTGTCTGTGTGTGTCTGTCTATGTGTGTGTCTGTGTGTGTCTGTCTATGTGTATGTCTGTGTGTGTCTGTCTATGTGTGTGTATCTGTGGATGTATCCATGCGTGTCTGTCTATGTGTGTGTGTGTCTGTGGGTGTGTCCATGTGTCTGTCTATGTGTGTGTGTGTCTGTGTCCATGCGTGTCTGTCTATGTGTGTGTGTGTCTGTGTCCATGCGTGTCTGTCTATGTGTGTGTCTGTGTCTGTGTCCATGTGTGTCTGTCTATGTGTGGATGTGTCCATGCGTGCCTGTGTGTGAGTGTGTGGTCTATATGTTGGGGAGCGGTGGCGTAGCGGTTATCGGGCTGCGCTACGAACCTGGCGACCCGAATTCGATTCCCGCTCACGGCCCAACACCGGTGACTATTTATCTGAACCGGTCCTGGGCCTCCCCTAGGTCGACTCAGCCTCAAATGAGTACCTGGTGCGGTGCGTGTAAACATCGCCAAGAGGGAGACAAAGGCAGCCGGGCGTGGTGCTGGCCACCCACTCCCTCGTGTGCTGTGCCGGCCTTCATAGGTGCTCGCTAACAGCACTTGCCCCAACAGTCTGTTACAGGCTATATGGGAGATGTTTGTCTTTGGTCTATATATGTCGTGTATATAACAATGTGTGTGTCTGAGTGTCTGAGTGTGTTTGTCTGTGTCTCGGTGCCTTTCTTTGTGTGTCCGGCTCTGGATTTGTCTATGCCTGGCTTTTTGTATCTATGTATTTATGTGTGTCTGTACATCATAATGTATGTGTCTGGGTGTCTGTTGGTGCATCTGCCAGTCATCTCAATCAGTCAACCCATGGCACCTGGGTCTATTCCGTGACCTGCCAGAGTCACTTCGACACTTCACGTGGCTTCAGAGTGCACCTAGCCTGGCACAAGCGCCGTGTTTTTGCGTGTCGATGCGTGTGTGTTGTCTTTGTGTGTTTGGTTCTCTGTCTGTGTCTTTGAGTCGACTATCATGGGCCCATTGACACAGAGACGGGATGATTCCAGCAGTTAGCCCGTGGTTGTGGCGGCTTCCCTCTCTGCACGTGTGGCTGCTTGCCTGCGATGCACCACTGTCGAGGCAGCGACGAGGGTTGGTGGACCACCGCGCGAATGTTGAGAAGCTCTCTTCACGTGGGGGGTCGAGGAGGTGCCCATACCCTGGACCCGCCGCGAGAAGGCGGACTAATCTCCTCCAACTGTCCCTTCTGTACGATACTCGATATTGAGTATCGTTCATTCAGTGGCTGAGAACAGCTTAATATACAGAGGACCGCAGAGCTTGTGGACACATTATTGGTGGCACCGACTTCCCACCTCGGCTGCCTTCCACCAGCTTGCCTGTGGTTTCTTCGCGACTGCCAGATGCAATGTGCACGACCGACGACGCTATATAAATTACAACTTAATATACAGAGGACCGCAGAGCTTGTGGACACATTATTGGTGGCGCCGACTTCCCGCCCCGGCTGCCTTCCACCAGCTTGCCTGTGGTTTCTCCGCGACTGCCAGATGCAATGTGCACGGCCGACGACGCTATATAAATTACAACTTAATATACAGAGGACCGCAGAGCTTGTAGACACATTATTGGTGGCACCGACTTCCCACCCTGGCTGCCTTCCACCAGCTTGCCTGTGGTTTCTCCGCGACTGCCAGATGCAATGTGCACGACCGACGACGCTATATAAATTACAACTTAATATACAGAGGACTGCAGATCTTGTGGACACATTATTGGTGGCACCGACTTACAGCCCCGGCTGCCTTCAACCAGCTTGCCTGTGGTTTCTCCGCGACTGCAAGATGCAATGTGCACGACCGACGACGCTATATAAATTACAACTTAATATACAGAGAACTGCAGATCTTGTGGACACATTATTGGTGGCACCGACTTCCCGCCCCGGCTGCCTTCCACCAGCTTGCCTGTGGTTTCTCCGCGACTGCCAGATGCAATGTGCACGACCGACGACGCTATATAAATGACAACATGATTATACATAAACAGTAGACGCACGGTGCTACGATATTTTTTTAAAACGCCGTGCAGAGGGAGGTGGAACGCAAGCCGCGTCCTTCGGATCAAGAATCCCGGGTTGTGCCGTCCACGACCCCCAAGGTGCCCGCTAACCGATGCGATGAACCCAGCAGGACGGCGCAGTACGCGTGCACCCTCGCGAGCCACGTGAACGAGCGCACTTGGCGCCGGCCCGAGGCGTCTGACAAACTCAAGGCCCTGATGTCCCACCTGAAGCTGAGCCGCAAACGTGAGTTCGCGCCCGGGTTAGGGATGGAGACCCAGGGCTCCCACTTCGCTGACACATGCCTTATTTAGTTTCTCCACTTCACCGGCCAGGAGCGACAGGGAGGCGCAGTAGAGGAAACAAAAAGATGCTCGGTGTAGTCGGCACTTTGCTTCGTTCATCATTTAGTTTTTTTTAATGCTTTGCTTTATGTAACCCCCCCCCCCCCTTCACGAAAGATTTCACCCTCCGCTCTCCTTACCCCTTCCCTCTCCCCTCCCTCTCCCCCCTCTCTCTCCGCCTCTCTTTTTTCTGTTTTCTACGTATTTTTTTGTATTTTTTTAAATTACCACAAGTGCTGCACCCAGCCCTTCTCTCTCTCTCCCCCTCCCGTGTTCTGCAGAGTGTGAGTGATTGCGTGAGTGATTGCGTGAGTGCGAGCGAAGTTCTTGTGCGAGTGAGCGATGGAGTTGATGATGTATATTCTTAGGTTTTTTCGGTCAAGTCACGTAGGTAAAAAAAATAAAAATAATAAAAGTAAAATAAGAATAAAATAAAAAAAATCACGACGTTTCGGAGGCATCACAAGCTTCCGTCTTCAGGTGGAACCGTCACAGCACGATAGCTGTATCAATACAGCTGTCTCAATACAGCTATCGTGCTGTGACGGTTCCACCTGAAGACGGAAGCTTGTGTTGCCTCCGAAACGTCGTGATTTTTAAAATTTTATTTTTATGTTACTTTTATTAATTTTCATTTTTTACCTACGTGACTTTACCGAAAAAAACTAAGAATATGAATCCTTGCAGTCACGAAAGCATCAAATCTAGAGTTGATGATGTGTTTCTCCCCCTGCTTTTGGAACGGGGCTTCCACAGGGCTTTCCAGACGGAGCAGAAGTGAGCTGCACCACAGGGGGGCAGAGACCACGTGATTTGCTGGAGGCTTTAGTTGGTTTTGCTCATAGGGGCCGTCCATAAATGACGTCACGTGATTTTTGACAATTTTTGACCCCCCCCCCCCCGCCTAGTCACACGGCGTCACAAAAAGTCAGCCCCCCCCTCCTCAAATATGACGTCACAAAGCTCTGCCCCACCCACCCACCCCCCAAAAATAAAACATGCTTCAAATCGTTTTAAACTATAGTCATTGTAGTGCGTATTTAATGTGGCGCTGCACTCTGATGTTGTAGGAGAAAACATTTATTAAAACGTCTATTTAATTAAGTACAACGTGTTGTCTATATTGATTTAAAGTTGCGCATTTTGATGTGACGTCCATTTCTCAAACCTCCCGTCACTATAAAAAAGGAAATAAAAACGTAACGGGGAGACGTTTCGGGAAATGACCCTTCTTGGTCACGGCAACTGTGCAAAGTTTTCACAAATAATAATAATAATAAAACTCATGTCAGAAGTGGGATTCGAACCCACGCCTCCAGGGGAGACTGCGACCTGAACGCAGCGCCTTAGACCGCTCGGCCATCCTGACTGCACGTGGTTGTGAGTGTTTTGTGCCTTGGTGTGTCTGTACGTGTCTCTGACACGTGCTTCCCTTGATGTATTTGTGTGCGCATGTGTATATGCCTGTGTGTCTGTTCCTGGATATGCCAGCGAGCCTTCAACACTTCACGTGGCCTCAAAGTGCACCTGGAATTGGCACGGGCCCCCTGGTGACCTTACCGTCACTTTGTTGCGAATAGCGGGTATTGATATTGGTGTGTCTGTGTTTTTAGCTCTACCTCTTTTTGTGCGTGCATGCCTCTGTGTCTGCATATGCCACTATGTGTGTATATTGAACTTCTTTCGCACCGTACGTAGCCAACCGTGCAAATCGGAGTTGCGTGTATCTTTTTACCGCTGTATTCGTGTCTGTATATGCCTGTGTCCGCCTCAGCACATGCCCCAACAGTGCGTTAAGGCAACAAGGGGGACCTTTGTCTCTGTGTCAGTGCTGCGCCTTGGCAGGAGCGTGAACAGCCTGCACGCCCTGCGCCTCTCGGCCCGTCTCTCCAACCCCGTGCTGCGCCTCTGTCTAAGCTCCGTGCACGCCACGAGGTGCGGTCGCTGTCCACCAGTGGAGTAGCCATCACCCAGCAGTGCGCAGTCGGTGCAACTGCACCCGGGGGACACACACGCCGGGGAGGATAACTATTGTGCCGGGACATCAGTTTGTTTTTCAAATATATGCAACGTTCCAAGGCCGTAGCCATGGAGTCAACATTGGGGGGGACCAAATCTTCCAGGGGGTCCCAACCCCGAAAAAATATCTACATTTTAAAACTCATTTCCTGCCTAAAATATTTTAAAAAATTCACTAACACATGGGATGGACTTTTTATTTATTTTTACAACAATGTCTAATAGTGTATTGTATTACATTGCTCTGTTATTACTTTTTTACATTTTCTTGTTTCATTGTATGTAATGGCAGAGATGATTAAGGATTAATAAAGTACAACCATAACCACAATCATATAAACATAAATCTATGCATTGATTTATGAAGTCCAGATATTGTGGCCAAGGTTTAGTAAATTGTTATTATTTACATAGCATAGCATTTTTTATAGCAATATATTGGGAGGGGGGGACATTTTGAGAAAAAGTTGAATATTGGGGGGAATGTGTCCCCCCCAATATTAATTATAATTACGGCCTTGCAACGTACAGTCCTTCAACGAGCCCCTAAAGAGTGCAGGGTCTAACCCCAGTTAACCCCAGGCCGCATATTTAAAGGGTTGTTCACAGCCAAAATGCTTCAGAAACGTCACTGAGATTTCGCTAAACAAGTTGGCACTCACCTTTGCCTCCGCGAACTCGGCGCTGTTGGAACGTTTGCTGTTTAATAATCTCCCGAGCGGACGGACCGAGGCTACGGTTCACAGGTCGTGCAGATGTCCGGGGCAAATTTGTAAGTGCCCTGGCCAAGTGTCTTTTACATTCTCTGAATTTCTCTGGGTTGAAATTTGATGTTTTTCGGGAATGCGACTTTAACTCACCTGTCCGCTGCTGGGAGTGTTGCTCCTTAGAAATATTCCACGGCATCAATAAAAGTTTAGTGTGAGGTTGAAGGCCGTGTTTCCCCCCTGTACAATCCATTAACTCAAGTGGACATTTACATAAAAGCCCAATAGTAATAATTATATCACACCACCGCACCACCCTGACCAATATCACCATCACTGCACCATTACGACTATCACCAAGATCACACCACCGTCAACACCACACCGCCGCAACACCACCATTCTCGCTACCATCGCCACCACACCAACATTGCGACTGCACAATCATTGCTGCACAATCACGTAGAACAAATTGTGGAACTGCCCAAAAGCGTGAACGTCATCAACACAAGCTTGCTGATGCGTCAGGTAAACCCCACCCGTTTCCCCCACAGGGCCCTGTACTTCGTGTGCGATAACCTGCTGTGGGCTTGGAAGGTTCGTCTGGCCCCCCACCTCGACTCCCAGCGCTGGGGGGCACAAGCAGCACGCTGTTACCTGCTTTCGCTCATCGCCTGCTTGCTGCGGGACCTCTACGAAATCATCACCGTCATCATCGACAACAACGATGAGACGGCCGGTCGAAACGTGCAGACACCTGCCGCCCAGCGGCCAGAAACGACCGATGTATGGGGACGCGTCAAGGGCCTCCCCCAGACGAAGACGACGATGACAAGGAAGGGCATTGGTCTTTGGGGAGAGTTGAGACGTCGGCCGGAGCTGTGGGTGGACCTGGCGAAGAACGTGCTGGACCTGCCGAGTCCGCTCGATAGGCTGGGCGTTCTCCGAGTTGACGAGGGCATCATCGGATTGTGCGGTCTCGCGTCCTCCATCCTGGGACTCGTGCAGTTGATGCAGCCCGGGCTGAAGCTGCGGCCGTGACAGGGAACGCGAGCGAGCACACGGTGTGCACAGAGGCACACAGCGCCACCCTGGCAGCCTTCTGTGCTTCAGGCAGATGGAATCCCGCATGGCATGTGCGATTATTCAGAAAGGTAATCATGGTGGTAATCACCAACACGTGACGTGGTCAGAGAGTATATACAGAGGAGGTGCTATCGTATGACTCTTTACAAATGACTCGTGAGTGGTGGCCGGGTGGCACGGAGATCAGAGGGCCGAGCTGGCATCGCCGAGATCTTGGGTTCAAATTTGCAGTCGCTTGCAGAGGTGGGACAAAGTCATTGTTATGCAAGTCCAAGTCGAGTCTGAAGTCATCAAATTCATGACTCGAGTCTGACTCGAGTCCAAGTCACATGACTCGAGTCCACACCTCAGAGGTGGGACAAAGTCATTGTTATGCAAGTCCAAGTCGAGTCTGAAGTCATCAAATTCATGACTCGAGTCTGACTCGAGTCCAAGTCACATGACTCGAGTCCACACCTCTGGTCGCTTGTGATGAAACTGGCTTCAAGTATAATGAGTTGGTGTCTCAGCCCAGACCCTAATGACTACACCAAACAACCCATCAAATACAAATTTCGTGCTGCACTTAATTTGGCTCAGCTCTATCATTCGTTGAACAGTTCTCTCAGGAGCCGTGTGGATGGGAAAGTGTCGCAGCCTACGGCGTGTACCAGAGGTAAATTTTCACGTATTCAGTAGTAGTCCTGTGATACCTTACATTGTGGGATGTTCTCAAATACAAAGAGCTGCACACAGCTCTCAAAGAGTTCCATTTGGATGCTTTTTCTCGTGACATGATGCCGACTGCAAAATCTGGCTGAAATTGTGGGGGAAAAAATCTGAAAGTGTGGGCAGCGGTGGCTCTGTACGTGGACTGTAATCCAGCAGTGTGGAATAGAGCAAGTGGACGTATTCCCATCCGTTTCCATCTGTACGGTGATTGTGTTGCCCCATGACATGCATGAGTTTTCTCCAGTTTCCCTCCACTTGCATAAACTAATTGACTGAAAACATCTTAAAATAAACCCAATGTGGCTGCAAAAAACTCCTGAAAAATAACTTAGCGTGGCTTTTTTTGGATAAATAATGCTTAGTACATCTGAAAATGTGCTTTAATGCGTATACAAATGCCACCAGGCCAATAAACACAGAATGTCCAATGTATATGTATATATATTTTTTTATTAATGCAATATACCATATTGTACAAGTAACAGTAATGAAAATGCCAGACAAAAAAGCTGTCACATCGCTGGTAACAAAATCAACACGTGCTACTCAACTACGTACTTTTTGCACAACCATGAACAGAATCCACGAGTTTAATTTTTTTTAAAAGCTCTCATTTTTTTTTTCACCAAGCAAATAAATTAAGGTAGCGATTGAAAGTCCGTATAAAAGTCAGTGGAAAAAAAGGCGCGCACAATCCGCTTTTTTTTTGCGCCAGGACAAGAAAGTAAGGCAGTAGTTGGGAGCGGGGCAAATCGAGAGACGACAAGAGGTCACACGAACGGGCAGTGGGGTTGATACTTTACATGACTGGCCAAGCAACACTAGGAATCTTGGTGCTGTGTGAGGGGGGGGGGGGGGGGGGAACTTGCAGTTTGTACACATCAGGGTCCGATTGATTTTTTTTAACACCGGCGCGTGGTGTTTTTTTTCCCCCCAGAGCATCCGTCCGTCCCGAAGAGGAGGGGGGGTAATAAGGAGTAATGTTAACAACTAAACGGGCTCTTTGTGTCACGTTTTCATGGTACACAGAGCTGGGGGGGGGGCCCTCTGGGAAAAGCCAGACCCAGTTCAGGGGGGGGGGCCCTCTGGGAAAGCCAGACCCAGTTCAGGGGGGGGGCCCTCTGGGAAAGCCAGACCCAGTTCAGGGGGGGGGGCCCTCTGGGAAAAGCCAGGCCCAGTTCATTTTGCTGTGAAACTGCAGGGTTCTCAAACTGAAGCCCCATACACACAACAGGTTGCACAGCACAGACGTTCACAGTGATAAACGTGCTTTTTATTACCCGACATTTACACTGTAGCCTGGAGAATGATCTGGGGTGCAGACAGCACCTTCGCGTGTTTAACCCACATGCGCGCGCACGCACACACGTATGCATGTCAATACTCTGTGCAGTCATGCCGGACAACAATGTCAATCCCTGTTCTCGCCCAAAGCGCGACAAAGTGTCGGGCACAACGCGCCCGCGCGATCGCGTTGTGCCCACGCAACGTGCAGGCTGAAAGTGTCGCAAAACATTTCGACCATTTGATTCTTGGAACGACCAATATCAGTTGGTCTGGAAAAGGTATCCAGACAAAGACGGGGGACTGATCAACAAGATGCATGTTTACTTAATCAGCTTCCAGTGGTGGGCATCGCAGAATTACTCCCCCTCTTAGGGAGAGGGGGCTGTGCGCCCTAATGAACAGCAGTGCCACTCCATGTGGCTCCCCATTCAGTTGCAGCCCCTATGGGTGGCTGGGGATATACTCTGGTTCAAGCTAAAGAGGTCATCACGACCGAATGTTGCCGATGGCGCTACACTTCTCTGCATTGCTGCCTTCTTGCAAGCCGGATCCAGCAGAAGTTGGAGAGTTGAAACCTGACCTCCAATGTCTACTCTAATAGAATATCACACTTAAATTTCGATTTAAATTTCGATTTAAAGCTTTCGTGACTGCAGGGATTCATCTTCTTGGTTCTTGCGGTAAAGTCACGTAGAAGGGAAATAATACAAAATAAAAATATAACATAATAAAATACAATTCTCACGACGTTTCGGCCACAACGCAAGCAGCCGTCATCAGGTGAAGAACAGGAGGACGGCTGCTATCTCGGAAAGATGAATATCACACTTGTAGAATGCGTTGCACACAAGTTGTGAATGAGTGCCACCCACCGCTTCCGTGTTAGGTGGTGCCCCTGTTTGCAGTGTCCGAGAATCGCTACTGACCTCCACCCAGAGATTTTATCCCTCAATAAGCAGTCGCTCGTAGACACTGTACCATTGTGTTTGTGCCCCAGTTCGTGGGGAGGCTTAGTAGGGACCATACAGTGGGTGAGATTTGAAATGTGTCGTTTAATATTGCAGGAAGCCATCCCGGAGAAACTTTGCCAGATTGCTACTGAATGTCTTTGCAGAGGGCTCACTTTTCTCCTGTTCCCTCTCTGAATAATTGAAGTACTTGCGGCTGTTAACACGTAGGTTATAATACTGGTTATTCAAAGGAGACTCCTCAAAATACATCCCCTGATAGCCACTTAATGCAAACGACAGTATTATGACCAACACATTTAGGCAATTCTATATTTGGCATACACTGCAGACGTAATGCATCGTTATATATATATATATAATTATATACTGTTCCCTGTGCACTTTGTTAGTTTCTAACCACTTGGGTGGAATATTTTTAGTATTGACAGAATTCATGAGCACACGTTCCTGAGCTCAAACAAAACTGGTTTGGAGGGGGGGGGGTTTACTAAAGCATGTGAGCACCATTTAACTCTTTGATGTACACCGGTTGAAGAAGCCAATGTAGTTTTTTGAAACATGACAAATATGCTATTGTCACGAATATCCCAAGACACGGGTGCCAATGCTGATGAAGAACAAACTGCTGTTAGCTTTGAGTGCGTGATACGTCGCACACACCAGTGAGGGCTTAAAAACCAGGGCACCGTTAACGTGGCATGCAAACAAACGTGACAACCCTTTCTCCCGAAATACAAGTGGGGCGCACTGATGCTTTCAAATATGAGAATTGCGCTATCTCGGAAAATAGGAGTGGGGAGGAATAAGATAGAATTTTCAATACTCAGCGGTGTCCCGTGAAACCAGATAAATAAACACAAACTAATTCTGATTACGGCAAAATGTGGCTTTACCAGTGAAGACTGAAAATTAATTCATGAATAACATCAGCAAGGGCACACACTGGATCAGGTTATACCTCTTAAGGCTACAGTCTTTGGCAGAAGCCTCCCGATATTGGTGTAAAAGTGGGGTCTGTGGCAATGTAGTCAAGGCTTGGGGTCTGTTTAATGCTAGCTCTGTTGATCGGCGCACTCACGTGACCCGGTCAGAGAGGTAATACTGAGGCTGAATCATGTGGCTCTTTAATAAAGAGACTATTAAGAGGTGGGCGGGTGGGACTCAGAAATCAAACGGACTGAGCAGGCACCACTGAGATTCTTGGTTTGAATCTAAGCAAGATGCCTGTCATGAATCATTCCCAGGTATAGCGAGATGAGGCTCAGCCCGGACATCAATGCTTGCACAGAAAAAACTATATTCAATTTTATTCTGCACTTATTTGCCAAAATTACAGTTCTTTAAATTAAATATATCTGTTGGGCTGTCATGTGACAAACATTACTCTGTCGGAGGGCAGGTAGGAAAATTGCTGCCCCCTATGGTGTCGACAAGAGGTCGCTTGAAAGGATATCAAAGGTAGCTCTGCAAAATCTACTTCAGTGGCCCATTCTCTAGAACACAAAGGGTTGCATTGCTCTGTGAGAGTTCCAAATCGATTCTTTGTCCCATGACATGATGCCTGGAGCACAACTGGGATAAAATTGGGGGGGAAATGCACAAAAATAGAGACACTTGACAACACAGAGCTCAGTGTTATGTTTGTCTTCAGACCCTTTCTCTTAATATCGGAAGTTTGGAGCTGCCAAACACGTGAGCTTTAACAGTCGTGAGTCTAAGCCCGTGTTATTATAACGCAGCACATGTGATATGAACGGAGTGAGAAATTGACACACTTATATTGTACATACTCGGCACTACAGATCCCATGTGTTTAGCATAATCAGAGAAATTCCAGTAATCCGAGCAAGCGCCCACCACCCCACCTTAAGATTAGCCTTCCCATAGACGAATACACCAGGAATTTATGATATGCCATCTTTTTAAAGTTTTTTTTCCAAAGTTTTTTTTTTTAAAGACATTGCACTCACAAGTAACATAGCGTTTGAATGGGAGACTCCAATGCAGGACAGTTATCCACAGGGCATAATTTCATCTGGGTCTATCCGGCACACCACATCCAGGATACCTCTTCGTGCATGTACGTGGCTACTGGTCACGTGTCAACTACTCCCATTGTCAGCGATGCGGGGAAAACGTTCAGTGAAAAATTAGGCCCTGATTATTACAAATTCCCAATTCAAACAGGACCACCCGCTTTGTGAAGTGGGAATTCTTCACTCGTCTTGTGCACTGTAAACGACTTTCCTGTTTTAACTTTGAAATGCAAGTTTTCGTGTTTAAAACAATTCACTAAACAAATCCAACTGAATAAAAGAAAAGTACTGCAGCGAGGCAATACTTGTTTGATGAATGGGGTTTCAACTGTGAGTAAATATCGCTGCAAATGCTTTTCCAGGAACACAACTATATAAATACTGAATGCAATGTCTTTTGGGTTTTATTGTAAATATTTGTTTAGACTTTTTTTTTCAAACTTTAAAACATCAAATCCCAACAATAAGGCAGAATTACACTTTATTTTTTTATGTGTTTTTTGTTTAAGTATAAAAAAAGTACTTCGAGACAAACAAAACATTTAACACATAGATAACATGCAAACAGGCAGATAAATAAATTAAAAAATACCAACTGTACACTATACCCCAAAAGCTAACTTTGCATGGTTGTTGCATACATGCATGTCACACGCATGTATAAAGTTTTGTTGAAAAACTTTCACCTTTCGACATACGACAATAAATTCCCGCAGGGTTCTGAAGCTAATTTATCACCAACTCTAAAGAGACGTTTCCCTCCGACAACCGGTCTCAAGAGAACAAGCCGCATGTCACTGTGTCCACTGTATATTTAGAAGACCTGTGCATGATACACAATAAACAAGTCGCCTGGCTGGCACGCGGATCCTGCAAACGGTTTTAAAAGGGTATGGCATCGCTTCTGAGACGCGTTATGGCGCATTGTCAACATTGTACGTAAAATAAAGTGCTGCATTCCAAAGCACTCACACTCAACACGGGCTTGGTGAGTCATGCACTGTGTGTGACGGAATCCGATTTTTTTTTGCGTTTTAGTCTTTAATTCCCCTCCGCCTCCCCCACCACTTATAGTTTTGTGAAACATTTCGCAGCAATAGCTTCGAAAAACACAAGATGATGTTATTTTGACCAAAAAATAAAGACCTCCTCTCTCCCGCTAAAACTGCTACACTTTAAACAATTGCACGTTCACATTTTGGAGTTTGCGATAACAAACAACAACAAAATCAGTCTCTAAAGGAAAACAAACAACACAAGACACGTATTTACTCGCTGGCCATTAGCTCCCATAACTTGCGCGCTATTCCCAGTTTGGCATGGAGTTTGCATGTATTAACTATGTTTTCACGTGTTACCTATGTTTGCATACATACACGTTACCTACGCGTTTACAGTTAGGCTCTCACAAGCGGTCGCTACGCACGGTCACACAGGTAGAAGTCACCAGCTCACAAATAATGGCAAAACAGTTCTATATTGCAAAGTACGCTAACTTGCCTGTGTGTCAAATCGGGTTTATGCTTTTAAAACTGTCCATTGCTGTCTGGGTAGTTCCACAAATTAGGTAATCTCACAGTGTAAAATTTCGAAATCATCCGAAAATAATACGAGTGTAATGTGTGTCATGTGGGCTGTTATTTTGAAGGTAATTGTCTATAATTTTACAAAATATGGCTTACTTATAGAACAAGTCAATGGATTTACACACGAAAAAAGTATGCACCATCACCATCCCAGCGCGGAAAAAAAGGAAGTAAATTGGTCCGAGTATGTTCGGCACCATGGTATTTTATGAGCATTTATTCCTAATCTTTTACCTGAACCACAGTCCGAATTGGTGGACGCACGATGCCCATGTAAAAATCTACTTCATGATTTTGGTAATTAATTACCCCCATCATGTCAGAAAGGTACGTCCACAATTGTTTAACAGGCCATCTGTGTCACGTGACAATTACATTGCAACACCTGGTGCCTTCCTGGAAGAGTTTAATCTTTCCCACACTATAGGACCCAGGTGATGGTCCAATAAATATAACTTTAGCTATACGTACAGGTGGGTGAGCACTCCTTTAAAATCTGACCAACAACATTAAATTGTACGTAAAATAACCGAGCCATATAATGGCACGATAGCAAAACCTGCTGGCTTCAACACACACACTGAAATCTAACTCTGCAGTCACACATCAGTCCTCGCTGTGGTGTGCCTTCCCATGTTCACGAAGTACAAAATAAAGTTAACACACACATATACGCATGAAATGCACCTTACAAATGCAAAGCATTACTATGTATATCCTATTCTTGTGCATGGCAATAAGTTCAGGAGATAAAAAATGTCAATGTCGAGGTCTGCTGGCCACGAGAGGGCTTCAGGAGTTTTGGAATACCTCTTCCGATGAAGGAGCGCAGACCACAATTGTTTACTACTTCTACTCGGTTCGTAGTTTGGGTTGCACGGTCACAATCGCGCCTCTGATGAGCACGTTTGGCTACGTACGGTGCGAAAGAAGTTCAAAATGCATACTGTGGATTGTCTTTCATTTGCCATTCATGAAGAAGATGTGAGCATTGGCCTGTTGATGTTGTGATGCGCTTTGATTAATGCAAATATCCCACGTGACATAGGAAGTGCATCTTGAAATTTTAATCAGTGCCGTTTCATTTTAATTAAGTGCGTTTATTTTAAATCAGGGCTCCATACGTCACTTGGGACAAAGGCGTAGCAAATTTAATTTATTAAAACACTTCAACTGGATAATTCTTGGAGATGGAACATCTCCATCATTAGACCTCCTTTGCCAGTACCAAAATATATTAATAGGGGGTTTCCTTTTTTCTGGCAACAAAACTTAAACCTTTTTACAAGGATTCATGTCTGCATTAACCACAATACTTGCACCAATCAGTTTCAAGGACCAATCAGTTTAAAGGACAATGCATATATTATCATAGTAGGTTTTTTTTTTGCATTTTGACTGCAAGTATTGTGGTTAATGCAGACATGAATCCTTGTAAAAAGGTTTCAGTTTTGTTGCCAGAAAAAAGGGGAAAACCCCTATTATTAGTATATGGAACATCTTATTTACAAGGATGTTCAGGGTGTGAATACATCCTTTGTAGATTTAATGTCACATGAAGTTAGCGAGCACCTAATAAGACCGGCCTGGTGTCTAAAGAAAGTCGTGTGGCCAACAACCCGCCCAACTGCCTTTGTTTTTGCCCAGTGCTAATAGTTGTGTAGTGCCATAGATGGGCCACACTTACCGGCAGTGGTGGACAGGGCCCATCTGCAGGTACCTCGGACCCCCAGGGGAGGGGCCACTGTGCCAGCCCAAGAGGGGGGGGGGGGGTTGCTGGGGGCTCTAGGATCCTAGGCAGCTAAGCCCTAGGCGCCGGGCTCTAGGATCCCAGACAACCCAGACAGCTGAGCCCCTTGGCGCCACCAACGGGGGGCTGTGGGGTATCTGGGATCCCACACAACCCCACCCCGCGATGGGCAAGAGGCATAAAAGGGCCGCTCCCTAGCCGATCGGGGCCAGTCACAGCTGAAGACCCAAGACCAGCCAGCTTAGGACCCTGGACCCCCTCGTCCCGCTTGTCCTTGTAAGGGCTGGGACGCTGTGCAGGCCAGTGGTGGGACTCTAGGACTCTCGGCTCGGCGCCCTTGTAAGGGTGAGTTCCGAGGAAGCCAGAGTCTAGACCCGCACCTTGGCTGGGTCGGGTCAGGTAGCCTCCCCTAGGGTAATTGTAGCCGAAGGACCCCAGAGCGTAGCCAGTCAGGCACGCTAGGAGGAGGCTGTGTCCCTAGGCTGTGTTCCTAGGCTGTAACAGAGTATCAGGACTGTTGGAGTGTTGTATTGTAATAAAGAAGTTACCTCTACAAGTGTCTCCGGAACCCATTACATTTGCACATCACACCAGGTACTCAATCAAGGTTGAGTCGACCTAGGGAGGTCCAGAACCCGTTCAGATCACCACTAATGTTCGTCATGTTTCTGGGTGCGATGAAAAGTTGTTAATCGACATTAAGATATACCATGGTGGGTCATGAGCAATGTAAACAACCTAAGTTCGAAGTTCCCCAAAGTTCGAAATGCAATATGCACCACTGTTGGCTCAAGGTGACGAGCGTAACCAGTTGTTGGGCTCGGGGCAGGAAACGTCACAGATAAGAGATGATGGCAGTGTTTGGGAGTAATGATGGGGTGGCGGCCCAAGGAGGGAACAATGCCAAATGGGCGTCTACCACAGAGCTGGAACAATGAGAATTCAGCTCGTCCACAAGTGTTAGCCGGACTATTTCATTGCAGAATCTTGAGAGATGGTGACTGCTTGGAGAGGGCTCCATCCAATAGTGGATGGCTGATACAAATTGGACATCCCTTTTCTGTGACCTTGCTGGATGGACACCTGTTGGCACGGTTCACACAGGAGCTGAAGGCTAAAGGCTCCTGTGTGAACCTATAATGCCTATCGAAAGGTCGAGGTGCAGCCTTGCAATTTCTTATTCATGCCACTGCTGGTGGATGAGGCGACACTAGAGAGCTCTCGAGGGTATTTCTGGCCCTTTTCCATGCTGGCCAGATGTCTTGGAAGAGTTGGGTGTACCCACATTTCACCCTGCCACAGATGACTTGCCATTGTATAACCGTGGTGTACCCATTAATACTGTTGGGTGGACATTGGCGATGGGATTTTATAATCCTTCCCAATGTTTAATTTCCTAATGTTTCAAAACACCACACCATCAGAAAATTGAACTGGCAACCTCTGGATAGCAAGTCTAATGGGCTAAACCATTTACACCACAGGAGCGTCCCAATGCCCATGAGTAGACTTTAAAACGGCCAAGTTGGATGCGGCGTTTTCTCTGGGCACTTTTGGTTTCCTCCCAAATGCAAACGCCTCATTAAAATGGAACTGACCAGTCATCCGAACATATAACCCTCTTGACAAAAGAAGTGACATCACACAAGGCTTTCCAGTCTAAATAAATAACATTACCATTATGATAACCATTCAGTTTGCGCTCTGCTAAACAAATTATTACATAATTGTCCATTGTGATTGAATTAGAACACTTGTGACGAACGAAATTAGGTTTTATCACTGTAAACCTGATTTTCGCAGACAGCTGTCGACAACCTCCGCTCCACACAGAGCAGAGTACAAGACTATACAATGGCTGTGGTTTGGCATTTTCTCGATGTGTGTGTGTGTCACTGCAACCAATGTGCCGCTTGAGCTGTTTGGGGACATCTAGTTCCCTATAGCTTGTTACGATAACACGCAAAAAAATCTGGTGAAACATTAACATATACCTATAGACTTTGCTATACCCTTAGTATTTAAAAAATGTATAATATAGAATGGGTTTTACACACAAAATGTCAAAACAATAGAAAACAAAATGAAAGAAGGGGGGGGGGAAACCCAGCTGATAGCATGCAATGCAGTGAATTATCGATGCCGGTCCCCATTTAACAGTGCACTTGTAATCCCCGTCGAAGAGTAAAGCGGTCAAACGTTTCACGTTTTACATTAACAACCGTAAACACCACTTCTTTTTTTTAAACCAAGAGACTAACAAAAGTCCAAAATACCCCACCGGCACGGACAACAACCACCCGAGATAACGCTCGTGTGGATTTTTTTTACGTTCGAAAGGCCAAACGCACGCGACTCACGGTGTCTGTCAAAAGAGTGACATCAGACGAAAGAAATGCACGCAATGATCCCTCCGGGCCAAAGTCCTATGTCCAGTGGCCAAAGCCATCGAGTGAATTTACAGTCGGTGGAGTCGCACCGAGGCTCACGAGTCACGGGAGCCTGGACGCCAGGCTACGAAGAGGTGGGGAAATCGGATTCTGTGACAACGGCGCACCCTCCAACCCCACCATTTAATTTTACGCACTAGGGCCCCATGGCAACCGCGCTACGACACAACACTGCCTACGACGAATAAAAGCGAACGAATGTTCACTGCTGCTTCGTGATCATTGCCGAGGGCCAAACAGCACAGATGTGAAAGCCGTCAGCTCTGGGGTGCGAGTATACTTGCCATCCTAGGTGAATAAAAAAAAAAATCCCAATGCTAAAACTGCGCGCAAATGGCGAACGTAAGACGGTATCATGCAGTCATGCGCGCCAGCCCCTGATGTACCTGCGCTGGAAACGCGAGATGGCACAGTCCGTTACGTAACGTCAGAAATCAAGTGCTCAAGTGAGGGGGATTCACAGGCATCACCATCAGCTAACGTCTATCAGTATGTACGATGTTTACAACAGTGCCATGCCACACGAGACGTGAACAGATTTCGCCAAACGGTCGTCATGTTTCGTGACGAGGGTTCGAAGCATTATCGGCAGTCAGCAACGGCGATTGTTACATAATAAGCATATCTTAAATACGGAAACAAATACTTACGTTTAATTTAAGTTTTAAGGTTCAAGATAATTTAATAGCTCTTAGACCGTAGTGGGTGGCAACTGTTTTATACTCAACGAGTCATTCCATGCACATGATTTTGAGTTACTTAAAGAAAAAGCAATATATAAATTAATTCCCTCAATGCCTAGAGATTCAGCTAACAGAATACAGACGTAAACAAAACAAAAATCTAATATGCACTGATCTAAGAGATTGCATGATAAAATGCCACCCATTTTGAAGAACAGATAGCAAAATTGCACTTAATACTTCACCAAATGTGGCCTTTTTTATCGTGTGAACTTCATCGCAACATTTTTTTCTTTTTGGGATGGAGCACACACATTTTTTCGTGACTCTTCATGCCTCACGAAAGACAAAAGACCTCAGCGGCAGTGAATATGCACTTACAGTGCACTGCTAACTCGATTATCCACCCAAATGCACATCAGCCTCCCAACCCTAACCAACCCGCCATGACATCACTTGCACAAGCCCTGCCCAAAACACGAATTTTTTCCCAAACTAGCTTCGCTGCGCAAAAGCCCAGAGGGTTTGAAGGTGCATCGGTGCCTGTTCCATGCTGACATGCACGGTAACAGCCAGAAGGAAAACCGGAGCGAAAACCAGAACTTGGGGCATGTGTAGCACGTTTACTTCACGCGACCACAATCCTCGTCCAAAGAAAATCAAGAAAATAAAAGATAAAAATTTTGAACAGGCCATGGCAATGTACCAAACATTTCTCACACATGTGTGCCAAGTGCGACCATCGTGCCCGCTCACAGTTCGGCGCCTGCTTGGCGTGGTAGTGACATGCAGGATGGGCTTGGTGGAAAAACGATCGGCCCCTCCTTTGGAAAGCTTTCGTGAGCACCACAAGCACAAGTCGTAGCAACAACCGCCATGCGATCAACACCCGTTCAGCACACACACACACACATACAAAACAAAGACGCACAGTTTAATGCTCGCATGGTCCTTGCAACACCCCGCACAAGCTGTTTGCAACAACTCAGTTGGCATCCCACCAGGGCCGTCGATGTGTGGGCGAAGCGGTGACACTGCTTCAGCACCACACACCACGCATGACGCACACGACGGACATGGCGCAAGCATCACACACACATGCACCACGACGTCCTACAGGCCGTCCATGCGGAAGGTGTCCTCGGTGGCTGGGTCGGCCAGGACCATGTCCGGGTCGCTCAACATACGCAGGCCCTCCAGGCCCAGCGGCTCCATCTTGAGGTCGTCGTCGAGGGGGAAGTTGGCATCCGCCTCGAAAGCGGCCAGCGTGTTGCTGATCTCCTTGGAGAGGCTCGGGGGCGATTCGCCTGTGTGTGGGGCGTGGTATTGCAGAGCGTGGTTTGCGTCTCGTCTTTCGACTGCACCTGATAATTTGACGGCGGGCTGCATTTCGGAGAGCAGCATTACAATTTCAATAACTATTGATTACAAAAATATAAAGACGCATTATTTAAAGAACATCGCCGACAGATAACTACGTATGATGTGCATGTTGAACTTCTTTCGCACCGTATCAAGCCAACCGTGTTAAATCGGAGGTGTAAATCAGCATCAAAGCGTTACACGGGTGACAGTGCAAAAGGTGACAGGCACACGGACTGTGGTAAGACATCACCTTGGCAAGTTGGGAGGTCGATCTCACCGGTGAGGATGATGTTGGGGATGTTGCCGGCATGATTGGAGAAGGCCCCGTGCTTGCCCAGGTGCTGCATGCCCGACAAGCTGCCCTGGCTGCCTGAGAAGCCCAGCATGGAGGCCTGCGAGTACTGCAGCGGCGCACCGGGGTCGAACATCATGCCGGAGCTGAGCGAAAGACCGCCCAGGGGATTCTCCATCATGTTGAACTGCTCCAGCTGTGTGCACAAACGTGCGGGCGGAAGTGCCAAACCTCGTGAGTGCACTGCGACCATAGTCGGTCGAAGCGTAAGGGTAAAGGTGCGACGCTGCAAATGCCTGCTCGCCCCACTGCTGATACAACTATGAAGCTATTTTAATTTTACCAGGTAAGGTCCATTGAGTAATGTAGCTCTTTTGTAGAAGCAAGCCGGCCACAAATGATAGCTCAACGAAGTGGCTTATCATGTGGAAATGTAAAGTAGCCAAATACTCATAAACGCATGTTTTTAAAACCAGAGGACCCGGAGAAAAATCCACGCGACCATGGGGAGAACATGCAAACTCCCAATATACAGACGTCAGGATCGGGATAGAACCTAGGAACTGATGGCCTCCACTACAGGGAGCTCGAGACCACTGCCTCTAGAGGGGGTATTTTGGCCAGACATCTCTGAAGAGGTGGGAGGAACCACATTTTACCACGCCACACGCGCCCCTGCCAATCGACTAATTGTGATGTACCCATTTATATTGCGTGGTCTCTGCTGAAACCGTCATCATGCTGATGAGCATGGGTTGATGACGGTGGGGAGCACAGAGACGGTAGCAGTAGTACAGTGCAAAAATGGGTTATCTGATGTGCCCATTGCTCCGTAGAGCATAGCCCCACGGCCGTTTGAAAACCTGTTTGTGCAGGGTTGTGAGCCATCCAAGCCCTATCCTGGCTCCTTAGCGTCGGAGATTTGCATATTCTTGGTAGTTTTGTCAAAGTAATTCCAGTATTATTATTCATAACATTGCAATTACATTCACCAACATTTACCTGCAGTCAGCAACAAGCCTGACCTGGATAGATAGTGCGCTGGTTTGCCGTGACGTAAGCTGCTGGTCAAGGTAAGAGTCGCTGAACACACTGCCGAGTATTGTGGTCTGTTGGGTAAGGCACAAACACACACGGGTCTGGTAAACATCAGCAGCATCCACCCTCTAGCACCAACTTCTAGGGCTACTCATGGCAAAGTTCCTCACCCCTTTCTTCCTGGATTATGCAGGTAGCACGCTTCATTCATAATAAACGTTTTTGGGTTAGATTGCGTTATTTATAAATGTGTCGTAACCCTCCACCACCCGACACGGCCAATCAGAAAAAAAGTGTCACGTTAACAAAAGACAAATAGTTCACTACTTTAGCCCACCGGTGTGTTGAAGAGTGAATCCACAACATACAGTTTTTGAGTACGACGTTTCGCTGGTAATTACATCCAGCATTATCAGGCAATTCGCCAGAATTGCCCGATGATGTTGTGGATTTACTCTTCAACACACCTATGGGCTAAAGTAGTGAACTATTTGTCTTTTGTCAACGTGACACTTTTTTGCTGATTGGCCGTGTCGGGTGGTGGAGGGTTACGACACATTTACAAACAACGCGATCTAACCCAAAAACGTTTATTATCAATAATATTGGTCGCGAAAGCCTACGTGTTAAAGCACGCTTCATCTTAAATTTCCCGAAGTAGCCCAAGGTTAGGCACCAATAGACCACAAACAGTCAATCGGATCTTTCTTTTGGTTAAACAAACCACGCAGAGACGATTTGCAGGTGCGCGGCAGGAGGCTGTGGATGTGTGTCCATACCTGTGGAGAAGTGCTGGGGGAGAAGCCCTGGTTGGAGACGGGCGATGTGGGCGACTGATTGGTCGGGGTTCCCGTGCTGTTGCGGTACTGCTGCAGGGCAACCTGTTTTGGGACAAGGATCGTGAGATGCAACCAACGTTCAGTGTCACAAAACTCCCACTGATCCTGCTGGCTCCCATTCAAATCCCAAATAGATGTGAAAAGATAATAGAGGTTTTTGGATTAGATCGAGTGATTATATAAATGTGTTGGAGAGCCAAACCACACCGGTGTGCTGTACTTGTGACGAATTGGCATGTTCTGTTTACATGACAACCCTTACTAATTGGCTGTATTGGGTGGTGGTGGGTTTTTAACCCAAAAAAACTCTATTATGGATATTGGTTACGAAAGCCTACGTGTTAAACAGATTTGAAAACGGCACTCAAAAGTGTTCAAAATTATACACAAACTCACCCCTGTCTACTTCTCCCCTCTGTGTACTCTCCTACCTTGCCTCTCTCTTCTCACTACTCCCACATTTTTATTTCTTATGCATGGTCACCAAGGAAAGCCTCACAGTCTTAAGACCTTTTCAGGAAGGTCCCGCCAAGTTTTCACAGTAGGGGGCGATGTTGTTATGTTTAATGCCATTAGAGTAATTCGTAGGCGATTTTTCAGCATTGGGATGTTTGGTCAATAACCAATTACATTGTAAGTTCATTTAGCTATGGGAAGCAACCGGAAAAGCCAGAGGAAGCCCATGCAGAACAGGCGAATAACAAACTCCACGCGGGAAGGTGCCTGAGTTGGGAATTGACCCAAGGCCCTTATTGCTGTGGGGCACAAGTGTTATTACCACAGTGCACCTCTTCCCTCTCTTCTCACTATTCCATGTACTCTCCCACTTCAGCAACCAAGATTTTCTGTTAAAATCCCCAGTCAACCTTTGCTCAGTGGCAGAGGTCGCAACCGGGTACCCGAAACCGTACCCTACCCGATACCCGGCTACCCGTACCCGGCCGGGTACGGGTACGGGTACCCGTTTGCGACCCTGGTGCGGCCGGGTACGGGCACGGGTAGGCCGTGAGTCACTGGTGAGTAACCGTTTGTCACTCATTTCCCAGCGTCTTGTCTCTTCTCACAATTCCAGTTCCTAGAATCAACCCACCCGCGCCTGCAACATGGCTTCATCCCAGAGGTCGCAATCAGGTACCCGATACCCGTACCCTACCCGTACCCGGCTGGGTACGGGTAGGGTACGGGTACGGCCGGGTACGGGTACCCGTTTGCGACCTTGGTGCGGCCGGGTACGGGTAAGGAATCAAAACCCGTTTGCGACCTCTGCTCAGTGGGAGGTCACTCATTCGCCTCTGCTGCCCACATAGCCTGGGACACCCCTTCCCCCAGCTATCTGTGCTGTTGACTCCATATTTTTTTTTCTCTGCTTACGACTGTCTGCTTCTCTCTATAAAATAAATAATATTGTTTCCATACAGAGGCTTGAGATGCGGCCGCATTATGATGGTGTATAAATCCACATTGTATTGTATGTCACAGGTGCCACCACACGAACCACCTCGTAATTCCTATGCTGTGTGTCCCAAGGGAAATTGTTCATTCGAGCACAATGCTCCTTGCAATGGAAACAATATTGCACCTCTCTCACATTAAAAAAATATATATATTTCTTCCCTGTCACTTCTTAATGAACAGTTGGATTCACTGCTTGGAAGATATAAACAAGATTATCTTCAACCATACCTTAAAGGCACATATTACACAGGAGCATACATGAAACTGTAAGCTCTATTTTTAATTGTTAAAATGATAAATTCTGTAATTACCTGCAGAAGGGTGGTGCAGTGGCTCGCACACTGAGCTACAAACCTGGTGACCAGGATGCGATTCCCAACCAAGGCTAACGTCAGTGGTGATATCTCAAAATCGTTTTGTTATCCCTCCACCCCACCTCTTCACCAACCTGCATTGACTATTGCGCTTAAGTATAGTCAAACAACACTGTCCCTGGGCGAAATTCCAATATTGCACCTCTCAATGCTTATTTCTTTAAAAAATGTGGTTTTGATCGATTATCTTTGTCAATGTCCAAGGGCTCTCACCTGGTTCTAAATAAACATGGATTCACTGAGCAATCGCTCAGCATTGCACTTTACTCCATTCTTTGGGGACTTGAAAAGTCATGCAAAAGAGGTTAACAATCTCACCAACAACTCCAAGCCGTTTCATGTTACAGATGTTCTATTGGTGTATTTGGGTGGTCAGCAAATGAGTCCATAATGACCTTGTTAGGAGTTCAAACTGTACCACTCTGAGATACTGGATTAGAATGTGTTGCAGTTACCCGTAATTAAACCACCCAGTTGCTGATGGCTGCATGAACCAAAAATCATGTACAAATTTTATCACATTAAATTGTTTCGTTAAATAAATTTGGCTAATTACAGGGACCTCAGAAGTGATGCTATGATGTCATTCTGTAGAGGCCAATCTTTAACTCTGGGTCATGTTGCACAGCTTTTGGCAAGAGGTGCTCATCGTAATTTTGCCAGATGACCTGGTGTTGATACTTGTAATTGTAAGGTAATTTAGTCAACAAAACATCCAGACAGAATTTAAACCACATTGACGTAGTTACCTGCGCTTGTGTTGCCTACTCCAGGAACACATTTTATTCTTTGCTGCTACAGTCGATAATTTGGGCCATGGCTATGTTCGGCTTGCACAATTATCCACCAACCGAACATGTGGAAGTAACGGATGGATAAATTAGACCTCCGGTGCGCGGTTTGCCCTCAGAAATAGAATAGACATCTCACTCACGTTGACTGCGTTGGTGTCGATGGTGTGCTGGTGCATCGCGGCCTGTTGGGAAGTCTGCATTAGTGCCTGTGCCTGCTCCGCTTGCTGCTGGTGCTGCTGGTGCTGGTGTTGCTGCTGCTGTTGTTGCTGCTGCTGCTGTTGCTGCTGGTGGTGATGGTGGTGGTGCTGCTGCTGCTGATGCTGCTGAGGGTTGTGCTGCTGCTGTTGCTGCTGTTGCTGCTGTTGTTGCTGTTGTTGCTGTTGCTGCTGTTGTTGCTGCTGTTGCTGCTGTTGCTGCTGCTGTGGTTGTTGTTGCGTTTGGTAGAAGGGGTACTGTACAAGGGATGGATCGAAGCCCAGGCTGGCAGCATCCAGTGTTACGGCCTGCCAGTCGTAAACATCGCACACCAACTGTACAACTACATTATGTCATCGGCTGATGGAAGGGAGGCCGTCACACCACCTGCACCAGCGAGGCCTCCCTCTTCAAGCAGCTCATCAGCAACACGCCGCAACAGACACTGCATGTGCTTGAACAATAGCCATACACTTTAAGACTAAGCATGTGCTTAAATACTAGGCACATAGTTTAATCAGCACATTAACAAAAGCAACATACCTGAACACTAGACACGTAATTAAACGCTACTTTAATCGATTTACCCTCCCTTGCTTCTCCCAGCAATTCAATCAAATGTCATTATTATTTCTGGGTTGCAATTCTATCCATTAAATAAGTATAACCCGTAAAAACAAAGTTTTTCACTCTAAATCCTTTATATGCGTGGAGGCTAGAGTCCTCTCGTCCTTTGGCTTGAGATGGCTGCCACCTATGGGTCAGATGATTGTCTGCAGTATTAAACAATTGGTAATTAAATATTTAATTTGTTTTCCCTAAACAGTGTAAAATTTTGGAAATTTTTTTCCCACGAACATTAATTGTCTCGCACAACGAGTCTGTGTGCAAAATGTCAGCTCGATTGGATCACGGGAAGTGGGTTAAAAACGACTGAAAGGTTTGCACGGTCGTAAGCAAGCAAGCAAGCACGCAAGCAAGCGAACTTAATATAAAGGATTTAAAAAGGACGTCATAATGAACAAGGGATTATAACCTTGAAATTAAATAGGTCGGTGTCACCGTGCCCTTACAAATTGCACGCGCATTGATGCAATGAATATCACGTGGCGGTCTGTTTAGCGCTTGCAAGTTTCAGATTTACTGCAATACACCCGTCCTTGGATGGGCAAAATGCTAGTTATTATTATTCTCTTTCCCTGCGGATTTTTACACGCTGTATTCCTGCTAGCACTGCTGTTCTTTGCCGGGAAAAAATACCGCTCACTAAGCTTCTTCGTCAGCTGGCGGCAGATGGTACGAGGATCAGACGTGAGCTTGGTTTTTATTATATTCTAATTTTTGGCTATCCTCCCTCCTAGCCACTCGGCCATCCGCCTGTCTGTCGCCCACCCATCCCGCATATCCAACCACTCACGTGCACCTTCCCGCCCACTCGCCAACTCACCTATACCCACCACCCATGGATTATCATCGAGCTTACCACAATCCCCCAGTTCATTTAAAAATGCAATGTAAGCTCACACTCAGATGAAGCTAAAGGCTGGATGAATGTAGCAATTTCTGTGCTTGTAAGCGGTTGTTTGTATTTCTTTTCATTTTGAGATTTGAAGATGTCATTGAAAAAGTAACTATGATTAGGAAATCTATGCATTAGCTTTGGCAATCCACATTGTTTATGATATACAAAGCGTTTTACAATTCCTTACGAATCTACTCCAAATGTGAACCACAATTTTCATCCTGTTTTAATAACTATCTGCCTTTGGCATACATGTACAACCCTTTTGTCAATCCATTGTTGGATGAAGGCCGTCCAACGCTGTGCAGGTCATGGGGCTTATTTGACCGTCCTCACAGCGGCTTTTGGCTCACCATCGAACAAATACGGTCGCTGCATCGATTCCTTTCTGATGCGCTTCTGCGGGACGCCTGGAACGCTCTTCCTTCCAATATTAGGAAGCCATTGGAGCTGTGCACTTTCAAATGTACATTGAAAACTCATTTCTTTAGAACAACTTTTTGTGTTTAGTTTGTTATCCTTCCCCCGCACCTTCAATTAACACTGTTGGATACGTACGTTGCGAAATAAATTCAACATACACACATACTCCCCGCTGGTCAGTGCAGGTAATGAAGGTGGGGAGCATAGACATTTGGAGCACTGTCCTCTGCTGACTATGTATTCCCACAGCAGCCTGAACATTTGTTTTATGCATGGTAGTCATCTTCAGCTCAATCCTGCTTATCTTCTGAGATCCTATAGGATCGGACACTGTAGCCCGTCACCTATGCTCCAAACCGCACTGACCAGTGTAAAGTATACTCGACTGGTTGAAAAAAGTTGTTAAGGTGAGGCTGATGTAAAGGTGCGTGTAAATGGGACTGAGCCTTTTTTCTCTCTCTTTTCAACCAGTCTACACAACAAAGGCTCATTCCTAACAGCGTGCTTCAGCCTCACAATAATAATATCCAGGGCCTACCTTGGCTCCTCCCACCCTCAACCAGGATATATACAAGGACTGTTTTCTTGGAATTTCTCTTGATACAGCTATCGTGCTGTGACGGTTCCACCTGAAGACGGAGGCTTGTGTTGCCTCCGAAACGTCGTAATTTTTATTTTATTTTTATTTTACTTTAATTAATTTAATTTTTTTATCTACGTGACTTTACCGAAAAACCTAAGAATATATACTCGAATAATCTCCATGACCCGCAGTGTCGTGAGGGGCCATCATCCAACAGCGAAATGACGTTCATACAACTGCACCAGTCTGAAGGCAGTGGCACTAGAAGGGATTACGCAACTGATGAACAACAAAATGAGTGATGGAAAATGAAGCCAAAGGGTTGGCTAAGAGGAGAGAAGAGTAATGACGTGAGGCAGGAGGGAAGCAGACTATAGCTGCACACCAACAAGTATAGTGCCATCTACATGAACAGACCTTTATCCAGCAGTGGATAACGACTGGGTGATGTGCTGGGAAGAATAATGCTGACTGATAATGATGATACTGCTGCCGCTGCCTAAGATAATGATGACGCGTATGATGATGATGATTACGATGATGATGCTCATGGCAGATGCTGAAAACTACAGGTGATATGGCACATTGATTAATATCAATTGCTAAATTCACAATAAGTGAATCGAACCACCCATTTAATATATAATCAATACATGTTTTAAAGTCTTGTTGTAATGTGTTAATCCGACCTCGCAGTAACTCGAGGCAATATCACTCACCACAACATTAAACAATAAACTGATCCTTAAATAAAATCGCAACCCTGAATGGTGCCAATTCGTTGAATCATTGAATTGCCGGAGAGGGGGGGGGGGTGACGATGTTGATGATTATTATGATGATAAGAATTATGTGTATGATGATAAGAGTGCTCACCCGTGAGATGGGCGAGAGTGTCGGGGAGAGGGTCGGCGATGACTGCTGCTGTTGCTGATGCTGCTGCTGCTGATGCTGCTGTTGCTGCTGCTGTTGCTGCTGCTGTTGCTGCTGCTGGTGCTGATGCTGCTGATGTTGCTGCTGCTGATGCTGCTGCTGCTGCTGCTGTTGCTGCGTGTGGGCATCTGAGCTCGAGGTGAGGGCCATGGTCAGAGGCCCCACGGGAGGAGGCCTGTTTCTCCGGGGGCAAGTCTGGCGTGCCCCCATGGCTGACACGATACATGGGAGACAAAGACAGCGTAGAGAGAGGTGAGGACATATTGCTCAAAGACCCCTTGTGCTGGTTCTCTGCAATATTGGTGTTTTTGTTTTGTTGTTGCTGTTCTCACGCAAAGATCGCCCAAGTAAAATAGCCGAACGACTGGCTAAACAGGATTATCCATGTAACCAATCAAAATAAACTTAGAACTTAAAATGAGGGGCGAGGTTGTAGGAGGGGAACAAAAGTGTTACCATAAGGCAAGGAATAGGGAACCTTTTCATCCTGTGGGCCAAATAGCTAAAGGTGCAACCCTGCAAATGGTGGGTCATGCCACCGCTGCCAGGATATGGAACTGTCGACTTTTGGTTCAGAAATCCTGTGTGATAACAAAAACACTGCAGTAGCTTCCTTTTATTTGTGGGCAATAAATCATGACTGTATAAATCTGAACACAAAAATCCTTAATAGTCCCTATTTTAAGGCTTCTATACAAACATTCAGGAAGTGAATCATTAAACATTTGATTATAAACACTGCATTACGGCAAAAGATTCATGCGCACAAACGCACACGCAATAGGGTGCAGTGAGGTTACAGCTGCTCATCTATAAACCGAACAATTTCTAATACATTTAAAAAATTCTAGCCGTCACCACTTTCCAAATATTACCGAAAACACCAGACAGAACGGCGACAAGAAAATAATAAAGCGAACTTGTGAGCAGCGTTATCGCATTTGAGCTAAAAGTTTTAGACCCTTGTTCAAGGGAGCACTTTTTGCCCAAAAAGCCAGACGAGCAATGTGGAAGGGGGATAATAAACCAACATTTAAAACCCTTTACGCAAACACAAAAGCGCAGGTGCTTGTGTGTGTCAAAAGTTCGCCGCACCTGGCGATTAATTTGATAAAATCGTGGTTGCTGAAAACAGGTCTAAAGGCCGAAAACGCCAAGGGGCCAGCGACAAAAAGCACTATTTGAGGTGTAATAGATAAGATTTGATACATTTTTGGAATTGAGTAAGATTCTAATAGCTTGGGAGGAGAGAATGGGAAGGAATTCTAAAGTCGAGAAAAATGCTTAGCGGCCAAGAATAAATAGCACGACTGAAGCTGTAATAGATAAATGTATTTTTTTATTGAACCAAGTTATATAAACTTGGGAAAAGTGACTTTGTAAAAATAAGACGTCCTCGTTGGAGCAGGGCTAGGAAAGAAGCACAAAGAGAATTGTTACGACCGACTGCATGGTGCTTAAACAGATGTGGACGAGATGAAAGAGCAGCCACGGTATGAGCGTTGGACGCGTGATAAGGAGGTCATTGACCGCCGGCAAGGATGATAAATAAGAGAGTGCTGCATCATATCAATCAATGTGACTTCTTTACTTTAAATTTTATTAAGGTCGGAAATGTGGTCCACCCCAGATATGACAAAAGTATTGGCCGAATTTGTGCTATGGTTACGTAAAGCAAAATCTTTACCACCAATGATATTAGTTGGGCATCATGTCAGGTAACGCATCTTCTTGTATAATAACGCTAGACTTAAAGCTTTCGTGACTGCAGGAATTCATATTCTTTCGGTCTTTCGGTAAATACTCTTAGGTTTTTTCGGTAAAGTCACGTAGGTCAAAAATATAATTAATAGAAACTAAATAAAATTATAAATCACGACGTTTCGGAGGCAACACAAGTCTCCGTCATCAGGTGGGACCGTCACAGCTAGATTTACTGTATCAAGTGAGGCTTTCGGTAAAGTCACGTAGATAGGTACAAATGAATAAAAATGAATAAATATAAAATAAACAAAAAACGACGACGTTTCGATCACAACACAAGCGATCGTTATCAGGAGGAAAGAGGGGGGGAAGCTGCAGAATGCAGACTGTTTTATAGGGTGTAGGCCTCGGGTCATGAATGAAGTGGATGGGGCTAGTGATGTTACTGTGAGAAATTAGCATGTTAATGTAAGATCAGAGAGTGGCCTCCGCAATGAGTGCGCGGGTGGCTATGTTAATGTCAGAGATTAGCATGTTAATGTAAGATCGCAGAGCCACCGGCGTTGGTGCGAGAAATTCAACTTGGTAATGTGAAATCGGAGAGCCGAAGCCATGGGGAAAAAAGAAAAAATTTACATCGGAAGGTGGCGGGATGGGAACATCACAGCCAGTTATGACTTAACCTGGTTGATAACGTGTTTCCAATGATTGCGGAGTTTGTACCCATCCTCTCGGTTGAAATTGTCTGTCTGTATATATGGATGGCTTCATGAACGAATCCTTGTTGATAGCCAGTGGGTTTACAAAGTACCTTCGTTTTAGAGAAATTTATTTCGTGAGCCAACCGCATTAAAACAATTATCAGCCACGGTCGACGTGTTGGTCCAACTGTGTTTCAAATCTGCCTTATGCTCACGAACACGGTCCGAGACATGTCGCTTAGTTTCCCCAATGTAACTACTGCCGCAGACACAGCTTAGTTTGTAGACGCCAGGGTATTGCATACCATACATAGCAGGCGTCGCCAAAAAGATTTCCAAAATCTTGAGCAAACACAAGATCCAGGCTCGATTTAACACAGTACATAAAATTCGGGATCTGATCCCATCTGTGAAGGATATGATCTTTGATATACAATGAAATACCAGCTCCAAAAATCCAAAAGAATATCTATTTTTACTACAAATTGACAAAAATATTGTATAACATGGTGTATAGAAAAGTGCTGCCCAGTACAATGTGAATAAAAAAAAAAGGTAAAACTTTATTAAAATATATTAAACTTTATTTAGGTGCGACTGTGTGTAGCTTCATCACTTGTTGTGACTTAAGTCATCCTCCTACCCACTCTCCATAGTCCACAGAAGGCTGGGAACGAATTAAGAGTGGCAATACAACACGATGATACATGTAATGGAGTATACATGTGATGCTCGCCGATTGTGACGATACTAACCACTTACTGTAGACTGGGCTTGTGTGGCAGCAGTTACATGCAGCAGTGGCAAGCACGATAACACCAGGCACAGCAAAATGGACAGCGAAAGCAGCAGACTTTACAATCCCAGCAGCAGCAGTCAGGTTCATGAAGCCTTATCTAGCATGATATTCGCCCGATATGCTTCAGGCTTGAAGGGATCTTCCAAGTAGTTCCGTGATATCTGCCCCCAGGAGCTGTCCTTCAGCATAGAGGGTGATGCATTGTTCTGGAGTGTTCAGAATAAATTATTCATCTCTGTGACAAGAGGCAGCAATTGAATTGGAGAAAAAGAATTGCTATTTTCTTTTGCAAAAAAATATATAAATTCCACACCAACCTGCAATAGCGGAACAGACTCTGTCAGGGTGGCCGTTCTCAAACTCGGGGGTCATGACCCCAAATTGGGTCATCACTCCAATTTGATGGGGTCACATTGGCGAGGATCCCCATGAAACACGACACTCGCGTTCATTAACTCTGCGGTCATGGGGTCCCGCTTGTGTCAAATTTCAGGTCATGACAGACAGTGGTGGTGCTAGCCCACTGGGGGCCCAAAGCAGAATATTATATTTGGTGCACCCCCCGCCCTTTTCAATTGATATACTCCAAGTGTGAGACGGCAGAGGCGATATAGACAAGAAACAGATGTAGTGGGATGACAGAAATATGCACGAAATATACGGTACTAAGAAGAGAGCTACGGAGAAGAAAGAGATCATGTAAATTTCTGAGATGGTTATGTTAATTGGCATTTAATGTTTACAAGGATATTTACATGATCTGAAATTTTTTTAGCTTGATTTTCTTCACGACTTCAGGGCTCCCTGATCTGTTTGGGGCCTTAAGCTTTTTTCTTGGTTTGCTTATACCTCACGTCACCACAGACGACTGGCAATGGTCGCTGTACCTTGCGCTGGCGGCGCGATGCCCAGGTGGGTCATGTTTCCTCCGCCGCCACCACCGTTTCCACTCGCGGCACCGTTGCCACCACCTCCGCCGCCGGTGAGCGCCGGGAAGGCAGATGAAGACTCGTCAGGGTCGAGCGGCGTGGGCAGTGGCGACGGGAAGTGAAGGTTGGTGAGGTCGGGGAGCGAGCCGCCCGTGTTGAGGGCACCAGGGACGTGTGGCACGCTCGACGCGTCTTGGTCGCCCGACGGGAAGATGCTGGTGGGGGTTGTTAAGCAGAGATAGTTACGGTTTGATTCAAGTAAAAGTGCAGCCCTCCAATTACTTGCTCACACCACTGTTGTCCATAAAGAAGTCCCCACTAGAAAAGGAGATATAGAGATGCTCTCAAGAAGGTATTTGGCCTACTCCTCCACACTGGCCAGATGTTTTGGAAGAGATGGGGGTAATGCAAAGCAGCATTGTAACTTTAAAGTCTTTAAATAACAGTTTCAAACTCGTGTTGGACAATGTGACACTTTTCAGCCCGGTTGCACATCTACTCCACATATAATGATTCCTCACGTCATCATTTAATATGTATTCTTATATTCATGACAGATACACACAATCATGCATGTGAAAATAATCTGGATAAATAAATGATTCACAATCGATGGAAATAATATGCAAGCTATATGCTTATCTTACATTTTGCCTAATTCAGTTAACTAAAATGTACGAAGGCAGAAATAATAAGAAACAATGCAAACGAAACAGTGACCCCCAAGTCTAACTCATTGTTGCCGGGTGCAGTGTTAAATTTTAAATGCCGAATATAAACACATTCCTGCGGAGGGAGCTGGTAGGAACATTGGGTTGCTCGGTCAATGGCCAGGGTCAACGGCGGCGTGGTGTATTCCGCAAATATGGCCGACTGTGAGGGCGTGCACAAGCCGGCGTGAGTAGGTTAAACGTTGAGTTTTATAAGGGCACCACGGGGTGACAAGCCCCTCCCCACCCAGCCCCACCCTCCCCTCTCCACCCAGCCCCACCCCTCCCATTTTCGGATGCACGACGGACGGACACAATAATTCCCTGTGGGCTGGTGGAACCAGGAGGTTCCTACCAGTAAGAAACATCCTTTGTGATGTGTACCAATACATTCAAGGTACAAAGTACATAAAGTCGGGTGCTGTAACTATATGCAGAGGCTCATGCCTCAGTATAAATAAGGTGCGTGGAAGAGGTAAATTAACACAAGCCTAGTGTCTGCTTGATAACAGCTATGCGTTTGCTGGGTTGTCGCTTTCTTTTATCTGGTGGTGTTCACCACTGCAATGTGGCGGACGAGAGGGATCTGAAAAACTCTCGACTAAGACAGCGGTGGTCAGGCTGTCTTAACAAAACTTGAGCTGATAAAAAAAACGAATGAGGCAGTGAGTGCCTACGTCTGGAGATGGATCCCTGATTATATTACGAGATGGAAATTAACATGTTCTGTGTATGTGTGTGTGCGCTCTCTACCAGGGGACTGCTAGATTTGAAGTGTTTGAAGCAAAGTAAACCCTTAATATTTGCGGGTGATACTTTCATGGAGAACGGCGTATATGTTAAATCCGCGAATATGAATACTTACAGTTTGAGGAAAACAGGGTTAGGGAACACACAACATTTATTACGTTTACAAATATTATTTAACTTGCCTTTCATAATGACGAATGTAAACATTTAAACGTGCAAATATCAATGAATAAATGACTTGTACGGTACGCAATTCCAAAAACATTGTCAAGGAAAGTAATCGCGTGTAAACAGTGCTGCGCACAAAGCCAGACTGAGAGAGATGGCGAAAGAGCCGTGAGCTATTTTTGCGCTCTCACCATCCACACCGCTCCCACGCCTCACCACATGACAACAATTTTTGAAGGGCAGTAGCATGCTGTGGCTGCGAATATTTTAAATGCAAACCCGCGAATTTCCAATTGCACTTTAGTAAATTTGTAGTGAATATGCAAAAAGCGCAATTATAAAAATCTCGGAATCAAGGGTGTACTGTAGTACGCATGTTTTCATGGTTGTCCTGTGTAGCTCTCTCATGCCGAAACAGCATACGATAGAACCCAAAAAAACAGATCAGAGAGTGTTGAAATAATTTGTCAACTCCAATGGGAGAATGCTAAAAATAAAAGCTGGCACAATTAAGCGCCGAACCCTTGGAATGTTAAACTGGTAGGAACGTTGGGTTGCTTGGTCAATGGCCAGGGTCAACGGCGGCGTGGTGTATTCCGCAAATATGGCCGACTGTGAGGGCGGGCACAAGCCGGCGTGAGTAGGTTAAACGTTGAGTTTTATAAGGGCACCACGGGGTGACCAGCCCCTCCCCACCCAGCCCCACCCCTCCCACCCAGCTCCACCCTCCCTCCCTACCCAGCCCCTCCCCACCCTCCCCTCCCCACCCAGTCCCACCCCTCCTATTTTTGGATGCACGACAGACGGACGGACACAATAATCCCCTGTGGGCTGGTGGAACCAGGTGGTTCCTACCAGTAAAAGTACCTTCTACTCATCCACAACAAAACCTACAAATTCCCGCCGCGCCTCACCCTTAATTACCAAACATCACTGGTTATGGCTCATGAATTTCCCCAGGTGTAGAGCCCTAATTAGGCCTAGGAAGGCAAAAAAAGAACAAACAAGACGGAAGCTGTTGGACACCGGGCCTCATCACGCACGCGGTTAAATCCGGCATTGCGCACGTCATGCGTGTTCATCCATCGTGACCTACTTGATGTCGGGGACTTCGCACGACTTTGGTCGAGATGACGATGATGTCGTCGATGGCGATGCATTCTGTGTAGAAAGCAGAAAAAACCCAAAAACAATGTGAAGGAAAAAATGGAAATGTGCAGCCCAGCAAAATCTTAATCGTAATAATGCCATGCCAGGAGATTGAATGGAACTGGCAACCTCGGAATTGCAAGTACATTCTGCAAACACAAACACCACGGCAGCATTCTTATGCCGAGAAAGGTCTCATGAAATAGAATTCTGTGGTTAGTACTGTAAGTAGATAACTATACCTGCATGGATAAAATAAATATTCGCGATTACATATGAATAAAGCGCGAGTTGTCTCCATCAGTTAGCCAAGCTAAGAGTCCTCGCTGGCCACATCTGGGCCGTGATCCAGCAGTCGAGTTACCAAGTGTGTAAATTAGCAAGTACAGTAATACTTCGATTTACGTCTCCCCATTTTACGTTGTTTGGCAAATACGTCGTCACTTTATTAATACCGCTACCTGATTTGTCTTGCCTCAACCCACACTTACATTGCCGAAAGCATTATTCGTCCTTTCTTGGAACCATCGCCTCTCAGCCGTCGCCTCCATCTACCCTGTAAATCGCTTTGATTTACCTCCTTTCGATATTTGTCGTCGCATCCCCGACGTAAACCGGGGGGGGTATTACTGTATTCATGCCTTGCACCCAAGGCTTGATTTCTCACCCAATGCTTTCTGGGTAGCCGGTAGACTGGAGCAGATGGCACGTGACTCGTAGCCACAGCTTAAGCAAGAGAAATGCGCAGTGTCCCGAGTGTGGAAACATTTACTTGATCGCCGACATGCACGTTCCTGGTTGAATTAAGCCGTACTTGCGAACCAATCCAAAGTCTGAAGATGGCCCAGGAAGGTTTTCACTGCGTTGCGAATATCCCCCAAATGCAGCCCACCCTGGCACACTCCCTTGGGTCTTCTCAAAATTCCGCGGGACTTTTGCGGCTCCACGCTGTGTCTGTGCGACCCACCTTGGTCTCCCAGGCCTGCTTGTCGACGGCCGCCTTGTCCACAATCAAAAGCCCCTCCTCTGTGGAGCACAGTAGAGTTGACCCATGTCAGGCAGCTGCTCGTGATTATATCGCCTCGTCCGTACCGCGTTAAACCACCACACTGCAGGTCAAAACACTTCTTTAAATAGATTTCTTTCTCACACTCCTCGACCTTCGAATGATATTCCATTGTCTCTAATCTCACGTCATTAAAACTTATGCTCGATTTCAAGAAACATTATCTATTACAACTTCATGAGTGACGTTTGTTGCTGACCACTTGCCATTTTGGGCCTTTGGAGCTTTGCAACAAAAAAAAAAAACACTACAGTTAAATACTGGTTCCCCAAATTTTGTGAGATGATCGTCTCCGCTTGGTCACTACCAATTTTTTTTTCTTGTTGATATGATAGCCCAGTTAACCAAAGTATTATTGCATGCACAACAACAAGATCAGCAAAAGTTTGAATTGAATTTAAATTAGGTTGCAGTGAGTTTCAGACCAACGTATAACTTTTTATCCTTAGTGTTGGATTTCATGGCAATCGGAGCAACAAAGACAAGAACATTGTCATGATAACATGATGGGAAAAAACGTTACACCGTTTAACCGCAGCTTTAGATACACATACCAAATATCTGGGAGGCTCAACCAAGATACAAGGTGAGCTGGAAACCCCTCTGGCTTTAGACAGCCACGTGCACTCAACCACCCGCCCTGCCCATGCGGTGGGTGGCCGCGCTGTTTGTGATCATTGGCTTGGCCTTTTGCTCATAGATGCTGCCTGTCTCATCTGACAACCCTGCTCACTATGCACATAGCCACGCTCTTTTGCTCAGCATCATGAGTCGAGCATGAGTCCAGAATAATTTAAACTAGGACAGAATCCCGTATTTCGCAAATTCTTTGGGATACGGGGGGACAGGCTTTCTGAAAATGGGGCTGTCACTGGCAAGCCATGCCGTTTGGTAATTTTAGCTTCATATGGGCACATTATTCAACCTACACATCGTCTACCTTTAAAACTGTACAGGTACTCGATGCGAAACAGAAGCAGCCCAATTAGGATGAAGGTGCCCCTTGACAGAATGCACTGCAGGGTGGGTCGACATTGAAAGCGAAGATGTAACTTACAGCCCAATAAAAGTCGATTTTTATAGACCAGTATTGATCTAAATAATTGACCGGAAAATGTATCATTGTTAAAGGTGGGTTTTACAAAGCGTTTCAAGACAAAACAATGCATTTGATGGTTAGAATTTAAAATAACATAACAAAACAATCCATGGTAGTAGTGGGGGTTTATTTGACCATACTTCACCACACTGGTCAGTGTGGGCTTGGAAGAGGGGGCGGGTTGAGGATTGGTTCAGATATCACTTGCCACTGACATCAGCCATGAACCGCAATTGAACTTGGTCGACGGGTTCATAGCAGTGTGAATACGACTACGCTACTGCTCTACCAGGCTTTCAATTAGTTTTCATGTAATTTTGTTTAATGATTTCAGGTCATAATTTTGTTTTGAGCTGAATTAACATCAAGTATCACACAGACATCTACGGAGGGCACAAAACCATACCTCACAGCTTCAGCGTGTATCCAAATTTTTCTGAAGCACATTAATCCCACTGGGTTATTGCCTCCCCAAGTTTGCCCGAAGCCACGTTTTATAAGACGGATTATTTTTACATTCACCAGTCTAGCACTACATACAATTTACTAAAACGTGTTACTCTTTGGTTCTTTCGGTAAAGTCACGTAGAAAGGAAATAAATTAAATAATAGAATACAACGTTTCGATTGCAACACAAGCAATCGTCATCAGGTAAAAAACAAACCTAGTAAACTTAGAAAAACAATGCAATACAACAGAGAGTCGGCTAACACAACAGTTAACACCCAACCTGGTTGATTACGTTCTTACAAAGATTACTAAATTTGAGAGAGACAAAACACAGACACGGAGACACACAGACAGACACACAAGCTGCACCATACAGTGACATCCCTGATGTCACTACACATGGATTGCAATCTACTCAGGTCATGAGGTAAGTAGTGGAAAGCGTCAATAACTGTACCACCACTCACAAAAAGATCCCCTGTATAACCTTTTCAGGCTGTTGGGATAAGGTCTGTTGGACCGGAATTGCACACAGGGGGTGATGCGGCCAGCACCATACCCCGCTGCCTTTGTCTCCTCACTGTGGATATTCACACACATTTTCTAAACATATAAACAACTGACCTTTAAAAGGATATCGCATATGTATTATTTAGTTGTGTTTTTACTGTCTAGTAGAATTAGTAGTAGAGCCGTGTCAATCAACTGCTGGATGAGGGTATCCCCATAACACACGGATCGTGGCTGAAATTTAAACATACTTCACCAAGTTGGTCAGTACGGGTTGTTCAATGTGAGCATACACGTCGGGAAGCCATTTAAGTACAGTACAACAGTAGATTTTTGTTGTTGTACAACCTTCTGCTGCCCATCACGAAAAACCTGTGGCCGATAACACATTTTTTACATGGTGGTCACCTATCCAAGCCCTATCGACCTCATACCTGGTAATTTTCAAAAATACGGCGATATTAAATGACGACTTTTGGTCATGGGAGGATTTGACTGAGGTCACCGAATGCGTGGAGCTGCCCTACCGGATGCTGGTCCAACCTCCTCCCTGTCCGTAACACATTAGGAGAGGACAAGAACCCAATGCGTGCGCTACAAGTTCAAGTTCATTTATTAGGTATAGCCCTGTGAGCCATTCGGCTCTTGAGTCGGGTGCAACCGCAACAAACAAAAAACAAAAACATGAACAAGAAAACATCTTAAAGTGACTAAGTGCAAACAGAAAATCCAAGAAAAGACAGCAAAATATTGCAGAAAAAACACCGTACACCAACGCTGTGTCAAACAACAACAACAACACAAGCGGTGACGAGCATTACCGTTCCGTCGTGCCGGCTGTGCGGTCGCTGCCTGCTGCCCAAGCACCGAGAATCCGTCTGGCGGCGTCGTGGTGACGGCGCTTGTGTGCAGTGCCGAGTCCGAGTTCGTCCTGTGAGGAGGGGCAAGCGGCAACACCACCACCACCACCACCGTGATTTCAGTAGCCGGGTGGGGAAAAGCCCGACCGCGGTCATTAGCAAATGACTCTGCTCTGAAAAGCCAGTTGTAGAATTACACAGAAACATTACCATCAGATGCAAAATAGGAAACCAGACGAAGCTAAATCACAGATAATGCACAACTTATGTAAATTGGTCTGTGAAAAGACGTTTATTAGTTTTGTCGGTAAAGTCACGTAGGTAAAAAATGAAATTAAAATTAATAAAAATAAAATAATAAAAATCACGACGTTTCGGAGGCAACACAAGTCTCCGTCATCACTTGATACAGAAAATATGGATGTGACGGTCCCACCTGATGACGGAGACTTGTGTTGCCTCCGAAACGTCGTGATTTATTATTATTTTATTTTTATTAATTTTAATTTCATCTTTTACCGACGTGACTTTACCGAAAGAACCAAAGAGTATGAATCCTTGCAGTCACGAAAGCTTCAAATCTAGAATTAAGACGTTTATTGCTTGCACCAGTGAGTCCGGCAGTATCTCACCTGCGCCAGCTGGTGTCGGGAGGAGGTGACAGGTAGATGGAGCCATATGGCGAGCTGTCCACGTGATTTCGTAACGTTAAGGAAAACATCCGTGTGAAATTTGGTCAGTGCCGTCCTTCATCAATTCAAGTGCTGGACGAAACACCTAGACAGTGTGTAGCAACATCCACCCCTCCTACGCAAACCCCTAGGGTCACTCACTCCCAGTGAGATGCTGAGACTCATTGCATCTCGCAGAGGATTGCTTCACCGAACAAATTAGTTCCACGGTTCGTTCACAAGAAAAACCAAACGTTCAGATGGTTAAAAAAAAAATATCTTATGGTGGCTCGTTCTTAAGTGTAGATGTTCGTAAATCGGATGTCCATATCTCAGGGACCGTCCAAACAGCCAGATAAAAACAATATTTGTTTCTCTATAACTTATACTTAGCATACAGTAAATACACAGTTAAGATACATAAAACACTGCATATATAAAAGCATGCACAGCTCCATGCTTTTCAGATCACACTTAGAAACAGAAATGAGAATGCATAAATTGGAGAACATACCCCAAGTTAAAGTCATCATACTGCTGTTAAGAAAATGAAAAGAGCTTGGTTAAGGACACTTCCCTGGAAATCATTGCCAGTGGTAGAAACTAAAAATGGTAACCAAAGGAGGAAATGCACCAGTGAGAACCACAATTAAAATAGAGCAAATAAATCAGCTCATGTACAGGAGCCAGATAGTTCGTTGCAGCGTATGGAGGGGCCTTCATCCAGCAGATCACGGCTGATGATAACGACGATGAGGACACACAGCAGCATATTCGAACAACTTCTGTGCAAATACTTTTCCATCCTGATGCTGGACCCTGCAATGGTAACACCTTGGTTAGATCGGCAACACATTTAGCAGCTTCAGAAAAATGATCCAATTCACGTGATCACGGCAAAAACCCACGCAACTCATCTTGGCACCGATCCAACCCGCGAGGCAGACCTTGCTGACAGGTGGTCGGTCCCCCAAGCATGGTCGGTTTAGGGCTGGCAAACACCGCACCCGCTTCTCAGAGGCAAGCAGAGGCCAGATGGTCGCATTTACCGACGTGTATTTAACAGAGTCCGCAAGCAACACAAACCGTCGTTTTCTTGTCCATTAACAAAAAGCTTACTAAGAACACTGTGGCTAATTACACGGCAACATGCCCTCCACCCCATCACCATTGCCTTACCTCTGCCCACAAAAACGATCAAGGAAAAGCTGGTATCAAGTTACAATGGTGCAGTAGGGGTTGACACGGTCGTGTAGCATTACTTAATTTAAAGACGAGGGGCATACATATATTTGGGGGGGGGGGGGGGTCACAACACAGCTGATGTTAAGCTAACTTTTAACAAATGCTAAACAGAATGCGTAATGATAACATCTGCTTTATTGATAATGCATTCTGCTCAAGGAAAGGCTGCAGTGCCCATTGCTTCATTGTACCAATTTTGGAGCAACAATTTATAACTTGACTAAAAGAGTTTAGCAAAATGGGCCGAGCCTTGAGCAGCGGGGGATCAACCCCCTTCAGCACCTGCAAGGACACTACAGGGCTCGGTTGGACTGCTTCTTCACCTTACCTTAGGTTTGCAATTGGACGAAAATAGCAGCTGGCAGACCAATCTACCATATGTCTTGTTCAGAACAAGGTTGGTTAACGGTGACATTCAATGCACCTGTGCTCCTAGCACCTTCATTAAATTAACACTAATGTTATTTTTGTTTACACTGCTCCGCTTTGTTCCAATTTGCGTGTCAGATGGAGACAACGGACGGCATCTTGACATGTTTGTGTGGTAGAAAAATCGCTGCCTGAGTCAGCGCTAGGCTACGCCGCCTTGGGGCGTGCAGGGTACATAACGGAACAGAGCTAAGAGCAGCGCAAACATTGACTCCCTTTATTAAAGTTAACCAGAAAAAAAAACACCGTGTCCAATTTACGGGTCTATTTATACAGCGGCCTTTGTCAGATAACACAATAAATGTCCTCTGCCACCGCACAAAACCAGGCGAATATCTCATTAGGCATGGTATTTTTGGGTGCTTTTGGTACACAATTATTTATAGGTATCAAAGTTTAGGCTGGACATTCTTTGATTAATATCATGATTGAAGAATGCTTTATTTACCACTGTACAAAAATGTTCAAAGCGTTAAGTCTCAAAATGTTACACAAATAAATCTATGGCTCCCCTTTACAATTCTGTTCACCGTGAATCTTTGAAATGCCTTTCCTTCTTATTTGTAGTGATATGAATAAGTATGAAAATATTCCACATTAAATTGAACTCATTAAACCGCTAAGCCACAAAACCTCTCAAGGAAAAGTGAGCGAAAAAATGTTCTTAAAATTCATGCACATGAAAAATTCATTGTGGAAACCCAAATGTTCCATCATTACTTTTAATGATTCTCTAAAAAGATAGAAAATTCCTCCATCTGCAAGCACAAAAATTTCAATAATTTCAGTCCATCCGAAGCCACAAGCCCCCCACCACTCACAGCCATGTAAGTCAGTGATGAGCCCACTACAATAACGAGGCGGTCTCCCCAACAATATCAGGAAAAAGCAATCACCCTTTGTCAACCCAATACTGGATGAAGGCCTCCCACACAATGTGGGTTATATGGGGAATCTCTGACCAATGGTCAGTACAGATTCAAGGATACATAAAAGGACAGTACAACAGTGGATGTTTCTGTGTAGTCTACCACAGCCATAATGTATGGTGGCTGCCCATTCATGCATTATCCAGGCTCAACCTGCTTAGCTTCAAGCATTCTTAGGGATTTAGTCAGAGGCAAATAAATGAAAATGCCACCCAAGATAAAAAAAAACATGTGTTTTATGTTACAGGTAGTCCTCTACTTACGATGGAGATGCGTTACGACCCCATCGTAAGTCAAAAATATAGTCGCCTAGCCTACCCAGAAGTCTTAAAGAATGGTGATAATTTAGAAAAACAGAGCAATTTACAGTACCGTACTGTATAAACTATATACTGTATGTATTTATTAATTACAATACTGTATTGCACAGTAAAATGTAAAGTTAAAAAACCAAGGTAAATTCTTAGCCTACCTATATGAACTGCAATTTAATAGAAAGTTTTTTCAAGAAACAATCCGATCTGCTATAAAAACTTTTGACATGCATTGAACGTACCGTATCGTGGCAACCCTAAAATGAAATCCCAATGTACAGTATCGTACCTCGTACGCTGCTGCGTTTGCCTGCCGCGCGAAATTTAAAATATCTTACAATTTTGTCCTATCGCTATCGCCATCGTAAGATCGAAATATCGTCAGTCGGACCATCGTAACTCGGGGACTATCTGTATATATTCATGCCTAGTCTGTGGGTCCCAGGTTGCTGACATTCATTTAAGGTTTCTTTTAATGAGGGGGGGAAACTTTAAATACATGCGTTAGTATTGTAAGATGGCTTTGGAAGGCCTTTACCTCGCGGAAGATTGATAATTACTGATGATAAAGCACTTTTCGTTTTTTGGGGGGGGGGTCTCTTTCTTTAAGAATGCAAAAGGGTTCGCAGGAATTCTTGGCCGAGACAGTCTCCAGCTCGTCTTGATACGTCACTAGCTTAGAAGTCTGTGCTGTGCCTCAGGCTGTGTGTTGGGATACATGTAAACAACGCAAGCTGACAGCCAAGCCAGCCGGAACGCCTCTCTTATCTGTCACCGACTGACTATTCCTCCTGCCAACTCGAGTTGTTGCTAATCTCCAGGAAACAGCCCGACGACTATGATGTATATCGCCCCGGGGAATGGGCATAGCGACCCTTCAGTGTCAATTTGGCGTCGAGTTTTTTTTCTCGAAATATATTTTTGTTCTCAAATTACGTGCCTGTTACACTTGTGATAACAATTCTGGGATAAATGGAGTAGAAAAAAAGACCCATAATTTAGTCAAAAAGCATGCGTGCAAGCCAATTACTCCAAGAGGAATGGGTGATATTTGCAACTTTTCACTTCATTACATTCAAGTATTAATCACTTACACTTGTCAACACATTAATTAGATTTCATCTGCACTAAAGTAATACGTTATAATGGCTGTTAACAATTGAACTGGAGTGGATAAAAAAAAATTCTTCATGCATACAAACCAATAACAAAATCACCCTGATTGCACTCAATAATATTGTATCTCAGAAGTTAAGCAGGTTAGAGCAGCCACCTGATACTCGTGGTGGGGTTTTTCCCAAGTCGTCTGGTTTCCTGGCACATGCTAAACATTCATTACTACCAAAACATCCCAAGGCAAAGGTACCCTCCTGAACAAGAGTCTTGAGACTGTGAGGCTTTCCTGGTTAAAAAAAAATTGTCATTATTCAATAATACATAACCCACAACATACACTTTGGAAGGGTCAAACTTCTAAATTAAATTTGCTATGTACACAGTGGACCAATGGTTCAAAAATGGGGAATTGTCAGAAAAAATACCTCCCAAGATTATTAGTACATTCGCAAATACAATGCCTTAAATATAACATAGCCAATGTTTCAGGCAATGACAATTCTTCACAGGGAAGCCAGAAGAATAAAGTTTACAAAAAATAAGCACACAGCCATCTCTTAGACACACTTAAGTGGTTGTGCTTTCGCTACGTTGTCCCGACCTGAAGAAGGACGCTTGTGTTGCGCCCGAAACGTCGTGATTTAATTTAGTTGTTTTCATTTATTTCATTTTATTTTTTACCTACGTGACTTTACCGAAAAACCCAAGAGTAAAAAATAAGCATATAAATTGTTAACTGTGTGTGCCGATTAAAATGTGGGCTGCATTTATCGGATTAGAGAAAGTGTCTCTAAATGGAATTCCAAACATGCATTATCCATAATTCTTTGTGCCCCCTTCAGTTTTTGTTCCAATTTCCTCATTAATGTTCAATAACTGAGCCATATGTCATAGTCGTTAGTAAGCATTCATAATAGTTTTTTTTTGTCAATTTGTTACTACTTCAGTACACCGGTGTTGAAGAGTAAACCAACAACATTTACACTCACC